ATAATAAACTTATTAAATTATTTAAATTAAAAAAAGATATATATAAAATAATTCAAATCAAATAAAATCTATTGAAAATATCTAAATAAAAATTTTGTTAATTTCCAAAATAATTAATAATTATAAAAATAATAAAAAATATAAAATAATTAAAATAACAAAAATCTCAAAAAAAATTATATTATATTTTGGTTTCTAATAAAAATAATAATAAATATATTTTTGCTTATATCTTAATGAGAAATTTTTAAAGTCATAAAAATTTGCAAATATAATTTTAAAATATTAAAAATAAGATTTTGTAATAAATATTTTATCAAACTAAAATATTTATTAATTTTTATTAAATTATAAATATATTTTTTATATTATAAAATATATAAAATTTTTTTCAAATTTATTTATTAAAGTATTTTTAAATAATTTTTATTTCTATTTAAATATTAAAAATTTTAATTTATTACTTTTGACTTGGAATTTCACAAAATATTATTATATTAATTTTCTTTATAATATTTTAAAATTTCTTATTAATATATAATAAATTATTTTATTTTTACTTTTAAATAATAAACTATTTCATTTTTTCTTTTTTACTTTATATAAACAAAAATAATATTTGAACTTTAATTTGATAGATTAAAACTTAAAAATAAATAATATAATAAAAAAAACTTTTTTCCTTTATTTTTAGCTATATGCTTTAAAATTTATATATAAGTAACTTTGAATTATATTAAGCTTATTAAAATATTATTATTAAAATTATTAGAATTAATCTGAATATGTATTTTTATTATTAATTTATTTAATATTTTAATATTTTGTTAGTTTGATATTTTGATAATTTATATTTCTCACTTGTTAAAAATATAATATTTCTTTTTATACAAAAAAAAGATAAAAGAATTATTATTATTTAATATTGCTAATTAAAAATAAAAACTTGCTTTGGATTATATTTTATTAATAAATTTAAATACTATTTTATTTTTTTTACAAGTTAATATATATTAACTATATTTTTAATATTTTTAATAATTTTTTAAATATATATAATTATATATAATTATATATTTAAAGTTTTATATTATTAAATATTTTTTATAATTTTATAAAAATATTTTCAAAAATTATAATTTATTTTTGTTTTTTATTAGAAATTTTATAATTTAAATACTTTTTTATTATATAATATATATTATATACAAAATTTTAAGTATAACATGTTCTCAAAATTTTTTTAATTTACTATTAATTAATCAAATAAATTAATTAATTGAATTTAGATCTTTGTACTATATTTAATACAATTTAAAAATTTAAAATTGAATATAAAAATATACAAAAATCTATTAGATGTTTTAATATTATTAAACTTGATTTTATTTGATATTAATTTATAAAAAAATTTTTAGAACATATTATTTCTTGAAATTTTGGCTATACTACATATAGTATAATATGAAAAGTATTTTAATTATAAACTTACTAATTAACATCAAGTACAAAAACCAGTCACCAAAAAATTCAAAGAAATTTCATTTTTTGCAAAAAAAATTTATAAAAGTATAAAAAAATATTTAATTATACAAAACTTTTTCTGTATAATTATATATATTTAAAAGTATAATTAATATATTGGATTAGTAAATAATTGCTGTCAAAAAATTCCAAGAAATAGTACAATGTACTAAATTTTGTATGGGTAAATCCAATCCATTAATGTAATAATTTATTTATTAAAAATTCCAAAGAATATAAATTTTTTGACTTTTTTAAGAAATAATTAATATTTTATGCTGATTTTTTGGAATTAACTAGATATAGATCGGGGAAACAATTTTTTTTAATGGGCAAAAACCGATTTAATAATGTAGTTTTCGAATTATTGAGCTTTGTTTAGTGGCGATCACTAACCGTTTTGTAAAAAAACCTTTAATATCTAAAAACTATATTAAGAAACTGGTTTTAGAGTATTATAAAAAAATGGTCAACCGATCGATTTACACTTACCATAAAAATTTCAGAAAAGTAGCCATTTTCTGTGGTTTTAAATGTTAATTTAAACGTCAATCGGCCATTACTTTCCGGGGGAACTGTATAATAGTATAAAGCATAAGTAAAATTCAAGTTACCTTCAAGGTTCATATCTAAATAAAAAAAATCATAACAATTTCAGAGACGCGCGTACACGTTTGCTATGTGGACGGTAGCTTTGATTCTGTACAATATCAAGAATTCAAGGACAAGTTCATCAGATAAATGAAAACTAGGATTGTTGCAATTGAAAGGAAACAAGTTCATTCTTTTATAACCTCGACGAGTTCTTTTGCTTGATCCATGATCCATGGACATGTATATTTTTTTTCGAGATTTGTTTACTTTAAATGTTCAAATGCATGTACGTATAATGATAGCGATAGTAAATTTAAGTATCGTGCATATGTTAAATAGGGATATGATAAGTACATGTAATCAATTGATATCGATATGTACTCAATTCATGAAGGTGCAGAAGAAACAAGCTAACTCAGCAATTTAATGAACTCGCATTTAGAAATGATAATATTTAGTAAATTAAAATTCGTAAAGATCTTAATATAATTATAACTCTAGTTCACTACTAATACCACGCATTATATGGTTTTAAGTCTTTTGTTGTTGTAAAAGTTCTACACTCAAGAATTTGTTGATTTTTTAATCAACAGGATATGTACTTAATGCAGAGTTTTTTTTGAGCGTAATAAACCATCTCAAAATAAATAAACGCATCTTGAAAACAAACCTATCGCTATTTGTTTGCCATAGCAATAGAATTCTTCGCAAAATGCAAATTTCTAATATCATCAGCATATCATACTAAAAACTTATTACAACCAATAAAAAACAATTTCGTCATAAACGAATTACAAGAAGACACTTTTTTGACGTTAGTACATTTTTTGCCAATAATTTGTATGTGTGCAATACACACGGGGGATCCGGTTTCTATCATATAGTATCTCATTTTTATCATTTTTATTTGGAAAAAAACCCCCCATGCCAAAACAAGAATATAACCTGCTAACAAAAGTTTATTGTTGTTTATTTGCCAGATACAAATTCGAAAAAATTGCGTAATGCCATATGGTGCATAACATCGAAATTCACCAATACTAAGAAGCAAATACAAAATCTGATCTCATTCTATCATATTCATATTCACTGATTAAAGTTTGTATTTTCTCCTTAGTAAAGAAGTTTATGGAATTGCACTATACGTACTCGCAAAAAAGGAGGTTCAAAACCATGAATTTTGTTATTTTTCGGGACCAAAAAATGATCCGCGGAGATTATAACAAACAATCAGGGTTATATGTATTTTGATTTATGTATTCGAGAATACGCAATTGTGTTTAATAACGTAAGCAATCTTCAGTTTTTAAACGAAAGCTAAAGTGTTTGCATAAAACACTCATTTCTTTTGGTCCCTCCATCTTGAAATCATACGGATACATAGCCCGCGTATCACTCACTATTCAACACATATAAATAATAAATGCTATAAAGATGTTTTTTAATAACACAGTTATTGGTGATTAGACTTTATTATTCTCCCGGGATTTATAGTAATTCTGATTATTGTTGATGCACTAGTCATAAAGACTACTTATCGTTATGAAGTGACTAAACATAATAAAGAACAAATGACAAATTTCATTCTGACAACCTTTTTACTCTTTGAATTAAAAAGCCATTTTCTTAGCTTTTAATTATATATGCGCATCTCTTAATAAAATTACCCAAGATTAAATATTACATTCTCCACTTTCACTCAATATTCTCATACATTATTAGGAGTAACGGTGGCAGTTGACAATGTATTACATGTATTATGGGCTTTATCGGCATATGATAAAGAGTTCCGTAATGAATTGTACTATATATATAGCATTTTATTGGAATCCGGGACTTCTTTACTTTAGTAGGCAAACAAAGAACTCCTTTCATAAAGACTTTTGTCCGTGCTAAAAATGGATACCTCAATTACGTGTTACATGTTGCAACACAATTGCGACATGATGGAATTTGTGAATTCTATGTATTATAACGATAATACAAATTTACTTATCAAGAAATCTGATCTCATTTAGTGGCGGGTAGTTTTACTGTCATTATATAAACAGAACAGCGGCAAAGTGTTATCCTTTTTATACATTTATAGGTTTGTTACAGTCCCCTGCGAAAGTAATTGGTGTTTCTTTTCTGGGCGTAGCATTAGAATTTGCCCGATTTGGAACATTGTTTATACCAAATTGGGCTACAGTCGGAAGAACACTATTGCTAGAGGCGGTGGGTGGGTTTGTATCGATATTAGTTGATTGGATTCTAGCCAAGCAAATTGTGATTTAATTATAGATCTGCAAATCTATGCAATTTAAAAGATGTTCCGCGACGCGTTCTTACAACTGGCCTGGATCTTAATCCTATCGAAAATGTCTGGGCTGTTTTAAAGTATAACGGAAGAAAATGATAGCACAAAAAGATAGTTTCACAAGATACTTTATTAATGTAATTAGGGAGGTCTTGAGAAAAAGATGCTGAAGAAGGAAGGAGATCATATCAAGTAATACAAATCATCTTTCAATTTACTATGAAATTACATGTTTAATGCTAAAAAAACCTCCATATTTGTTATGCTTTAGGTCACATACTCCGGATTCAATTAGTCCACTAACCGCAGCCAACATGAGTGACTAGTACAGAACATGATAGCATTTATTTTGGTGTCATTATTGATAGATTAAAGTCACGCCACGTGATAAGTTGCTAGTTCAAATTTGAGAATACATAGTTAATTATATACACATAAATGGTACAAAGACCCGCAGTAGCAATTATCGCTATTAAAATACTCTGAACAATTGAATAGATTAATGAAATTTTTATTTATTGTACGTGTGTAATTTATTGAACTGTATTTTTAGAAATCAGGTGTCATTTGCTTTAAAAATAGTAAAATACAACAAGTCCTTTTTTTTATCTTACTACAAAATCATATTGTTTGAACAGGTGATGAAATGGTGCATAGCATTAGATAAATTAATGTCTAGAAATGGACTCAATGTATTGTAACTTTGTTAGAGACTGAAAGAAGAAATTCAAAAAGTAGGATCACCTGAGATTTTTTTGCTTCTGTTAAAATTTCGTGTGAATCTGCATATTTTCTTGTGTTTTTGATTCTTTGTCTTGTTCTGAATATAGCTTTTTTCCTTAAACATTTCTTGCATATCGATACTAACCAATCAATTATCAAATTTTCCGGATAATCTTGCATGGACCAACATTTTCTTTATATTTAGTGTGAAAAAACAAAAATCCTCGTGATATACGTCACTTGTACATATACGTACAATATGACTGATAAAATGCTATTTTTAAAGTGACCATTTTACTTTATTTGTTTGTTTGTTAGTTATAACGGTGCAAATGACACTTTTATTACGAATAATTTGTTTTTGATTGTGTAGATTTATAGCGTGTAAATCAAAAATCATCAAAAGATGTTTTAGATTTTTGAAGGAGTATGGGAAAAATCTTATTTTTAATGTTATTGTTTATTCTATAAATAATTCTTATTAAATTTTTTATGAAATGTGAGATGACACGTGTAAATATCGATTTTTTTTTACTCCGATTAGATTCGCGCCATTTACAATAATCCAGTTCAGAAACAAGTTCTTTCATAAGTGTGGAGAGTGAATGCGTGTCAAAAACTAAACAACAGCGACAAAAAACAACGACATCGTCGTTTTCTCTCGACCAGAATTTAGTTCGATAGATAACCTAATACTAGATTATTATTGGTGGGTTCGATTTATTGTACACAAAGTGAATTGGCGTTTTTTTTTTCGATGTACAATGACATCTTTCTAATTTTAGTTTTTCAGATCGCAAAAAAATCAATTACCAATTACTACTAGCCTATTATCTGTATTCTCGAGAGGGGACTAGTCTTACGGCGGTTATGCGTGAATCGGAAGATCTCTATTTTTCTTGGTGAAAGAATTTTGGGTTGCATTACATACAAAATCCTGAGTTTAAAAATTCCAAATTCGAGCAAGCGTGATGGTTACATTAAATTTCTATGGCCTGGGCCCTTTTGATAAGGATTGACATAATTCTTTTAAAATTCAATGTTGTTGTGATAGGAAACTCTTTTTTCATAAAAAAAACGTGCATGTTTCTCCTTTCTATAAATAGACTAACACCATTACCACCATTAAAAATAGATTCTATTAAAGCACAATAATAATAATAATAATAATAATAATAATAATAATGTAAATGTATAAGAAAGTGATTTTGATATGTACATTCATCAACTTGTGTCAAGTTTAAGAGTGGTACAAGAGACGATCAATATTTGTACACAACATTCATGTATTTCCTATGGCGTTTTTTTTTTACTGGAGATGATTGGGAAAAGTTAATTTAAACCAGCATTATATTTACATAAAGAATCTTGGTTCAGATCTATCGACTACAATCAAAGTTAATTTGTTACACTAGTCTCGAGAATCCTATTTCTAATTTTGAAAGTCTAAGGTGGTGGTACTCTCAATTAGATAAATCTTATGAAAGTAAGAGGGGGGATTAAATAATCTTAATAATAGCACAGATCTTTTGTTTTCTTCTAGATTATTAAAATTAATTCAATTCGAAAAGCCTCTTTAAACTTGTGCATTTTATTGGCGTATTTGCGTTGCCTTCAAGACAATAGAATTAAATCTCGTTCGACAAAAAGTAAATTGGTTTAAACCAATAAAAACCATTTTCGGCATAATAGTCTTTATCATATCTCTTCTATTACTATTTTAATTTACCCCCCTTACTACTGTGACAAAGTGACACAAATTTATCACAAGATTCTCTTAAAATAAAACAAAAATTGAACAAAATATTCCCTCGTTTTGTGTTTCCCGTGAAGTTAAAAAAAAATCGAATACCCATTGTTATTTAACTTGAATTGAACTGTTTTTTCTTCTATTAAAAGTGAAGATTCACACAAATGTAAACACAAAAAACTGGTTTATTTATATCCATTTTCCCATATCTAATTATAACAGTAACTAAATAAACCTCTACTCTAAATAACAAATATATTGTTAACAAACTCACAACAATAATAATAGTACGTATAGAGAAGGTAACTTATTCTATAATTATTATTGTTACAAAAAAGTCTAAGATCAATGAATAACATTGTACACCCTTATGAAGGTATATAAATGAGGAGTTGAATTTTTTTCAACTGATTTTCTTTACAATAACCTATTCTTAGAAAATCAAATATTCTCCATTTATTTCCATTTGTTTTTTAAGAGTTATTAAAGGTAAAAAGATAATCGTCATGTCCAAAGAAAACAAAAAAATGAACAATTTAGGTAAACGTAATAAATCGATGGAACATCGTATCAGGTTCACCACTAAGAAAACTGCGACTGTTCTACCGCCTTTGGAACTTCCGTTTCCACCAACAATTGACCCACAACAATTAGTTTCAAAAATATCAACAAAGAAAATCTTAGCAAGATTTCCAAACGCTTTCATAATCTACCGCAACCAATATGTTCAATTCCTTAAGAGTAAAGGAATTCATCTTTCAATGACGGATCTGTCGCCGATGATTTCTCATTCTTGGAAACAAGAAAATGAGCATGTTAAAGACGCGTACACGAGATTATCTCTCCAAGCAGAGAAATTGTATCTTCGCCGTGGCTCCGAACAACAAAGAGCCGCGAGTGAACAACAATATTTTCTCAATAATAACAACAGCAACAACAATAACAACAATCAAAACAACAACCACCAAAACAACAGCAACAGTAGCAGTGTCATTGACAGAGACTACAGTCATTTTAATCAACATGAAATTGACTATGCCCTTTCAACTCCACAGCAAACTCAATTCTATTCCGAAGCACCAATCTTAGCACGTCCAATTGCACAAAGAAAAATTCCTCCAATTTACTCCTCCACCAACATCGAAAACACTAATGATCTTCTCAATTCTGCCCTTGTTTGCTCTGCTTCAACTTCACCTACCATGGAATTTGATGACTTTTTCAAAACCACATCATCACCTGAATCCAATAACATTCATGATCTCAATTCCATCTCGTCGGTTAATGACAACAAATTTATTCCTGATTGTGCTAATATTTGGCAAAGAAATGACACAAAGATTCCTGGATTTGCTCAATTAGTCCAAGAAAATTGTGCATATGATCCTTTCGACTTTTTATGGGAACCCAGAAAATCCACCAGTCATCATCACCACCACCAACATCATTCAACCTCTACTGATAGCAGTTCACCTTCATTTGATGTTGATGATAGCACATTAGAATTCCACCACTATCATATGAATTTCTTTGATTCTTTAAATTCCACAAATTCTTCGCCAAATGAAAATTATCATAGTGATACATCATTTTTGGATTTCTCACCAATCGTTTCGTCTTAAATTACCACCTTATCTAATGGGTGGGTAAGTGTCATTTGACTGTCATTATATTTCCTTATGTAAAATTGTAAAAAAATGTATAGATTTTGTATTATTGTATATTATATTATAAATATAAATATAAATATATTGTTATCTATGAGTTGTTGTATAACGATAAGTATAGAATTTGAATGAGTAAATGCTCCTATGGATTAATTAAAGTTCTATTAATTAAAGTTCTATAAATATGTATAAAGCTGGCAAGCTTCCTTTGGGTGCTAAATTATACATTGACTACGTATAAGGATTTGCGATCTAAAGTTAAGGTCGACATAAGACAGTGCATACATACAAAACAAATGTAAGGATCGAAAATAATAAAATTCCTTTCATATATCATATTATGTCTTATCATAAAAACGGACCTTTTTGATTATTTTGACCCATGAAATGCATCTCAATATGCTGGCAAAAAAACCCCTTTTTGTAGGACAGAAGTCTCTCGAACCTTTTTTCTTTTTGCACGAATTCCCACGATTTCAGCCGACAGATTGCAGCATGCATTACTGATTTGATTTTTTTAGCATTAAAATTTGAATTTGAAAATTTTGATATACGTATAGATATGATGTTTTGATTTATCTAAGAGAGATCGAAACTTTTAATAGGAAATCAAGCAAGAGATCTCCCAAAAGAGAAATTCAAAAGGGCCATTTCTCTTGTATTCATCAACTTCAAAGAATCATATATAGAACAATATAGAGTTACACTTGCAGTAGACATTGAAATAGGCGGAGTTTAATAATCAGTGAATTAAACACGGGTAGTAATTAATTTAGAATCTCGTGTTTAAATGAATTTACATTATGAGCCAGAAAATCAGGAAACTAACTCGTTTTTTTCACATTCAAAAGACTCTTTAGGTGTTTTTTTCAAGGACATTGTATGTTTGTTTATGTTTTCCAAATACAAATGGTTGGTTCCAGCAGGAAAGATAACGCAAGGCACTTTAACGATTGCATATAGATAGTATTTTTTGGACATTCTATGTAATTTTTTCGCACGAATCAATTATTCCATCTGTAAGCAAATGAAGTGAATGAAGATAAATTTGGATATTGAAGACTGTTTTGCTAAAAAAGCACCTTCCTGCATCTATACTTTGAACGTCAAGCTTCGGAAACCTTAGAGTAATTTTTTGGAACAACGCATGTTCTATATTATCTGTTATGTGAGATCTTTATTATGCACAGAAAATCGTGTAAGAACATGAACAATACACAGCATATGCAAGAATCCGCGAAATAGTTACGTATATTTTTCGACATCAACGAAATACTCGTAATACATGCACGATCGTTTTGATAGACTTTTTAAAGATCTCTTGTGACGCCAAACTTAAAACGACAATATATACATCGCCGTAAAAATGCAACCCCGTTAAACTGAAGTGGTCAGAAAAATTCAGTAAATTCGGGTTATCGAGGAAGGTTTATTTTATCTGTTCCTAAACCAACTTTCCTAGAACCAAATTTGGTTTAGTGCTTTTATGACAAAAAATCATGATGCACATGACGTTGCATGAATGACTCACGGGAACTTGGGATCAAGGAAACTTCTACGATTCGGGTCAGTGATAGATTTGGAAACAGACTCAAATCGTACGATGTGATGTGTAAATACATACCGATACATGTATATACATGACTAATCTCACTGATGTGCCACAGATTGGTGATATTAGTGAAAAACAATGCACTTCGTAGCATTCTGGAAGAGAGCAGTTCTTTCTCGCCAAATAATCTAGTTCTAGGTTATTATACCTCTATAGAATTATAAAATATTCACCCGAAATTCCATATTCTACTTTTATATTAGTTGAGATTGACTACAAAGTGCTAATATCGACATCGTATTATATAACATTAATCTAAACATATCGTAAAAATCAGTGGAGTTCGTCCATATTGCCTTCTATTTGTAAAGCTAGCTACATAAACGATAATCTACAATCCCATTAAGAACTCGAGAGCACGAGACTCGATATACCATCGAAATTAATAAAATACACAATTTTACCTTACCCTAATATTTTGCTTATTTATACTGTTATTTATTTATTGTTTGAATTGAAATTCAACCTGGGCAAATTTTCTTTTGGTGTATGCGACAATTTCACAGCAAATGTTTGCCACATTCTTTGTAGAAAATTAGACCTCAAGGCTACTAATTCAATAATAAAAAGTTTTTTGCATTTGGTTTATTCATTTTGCAGAAAAATATGCTGTTTACTAAAAAAAAAATGGAATAACGATATAAATAAGCAAAATATTAGGGTAAGGTAAAATTGTGTACGAATCAGGAATAAATTTCTAAAGTCCTTCGTTTTATAATTAACTAATAATAATTTACAATCTATCTTTAATGGAAAATCTAAAAAAAGTCTTTTTAAATAAGAAAAATGTCTTGTATTAAAAATAAACGAGGTTAGAAAAACATAAAAAATACAAATAGGATTGTTCGAATAATGTATGAATAATTTAGAGCTCGATCTGTCGCTCCTTTAGATTGCTGAGGGTTGACGGTTGAATTCGTTGACATGGTATTCGTATTTATTGATTCTGAATGAACAGCGCCTATTTCCTGATAAGGATCTCGACCAATACAATTGGACACAGATTTAATAGTGAAACCGGCATTTTGCACGATTTTAATGGAAGGAGGTATTTCGGCAGCCGTTTGTTTGTATAAATCATGTTGCAGGGAAATATGTCCACTATTCCATGTGGTATTTTTACTCCAGATCGTGAAATTGCCTGTAATCCATGATATATTGAACGAAGGAGCCCCGATTGATGTCCAATCTTTACTATCGGAGTCCCATAGAATAGCCGTGTAATTAAGTTGTTTTATAATTTCTCTCACACGATCGTCTAAATCTCCATACGGTGGTCGCATAAACTTGGGAGTGATTCCGATTACTTGCTTAATTGCTTTCTCGGTCCATTTGAGCTCGGCTATAATTTGTTCATTTGTTTGTGTAGTGAGTTTAGTATGTGACCAGGTGTGAATAGCAATGTCATGACCTTATTATTGTATAAAAATAATTTCAATTTAGAAGATGGGCAAGATAATTTTAAAGCGTTAGATTTAATGTTGTTACCAGCGGCGTAGGTCTTATTTAGAATATCAGGATATTCTATGACACGTGAGCCAATCACAAAAAAAGTCGCCTTTATCCCTTGAGACTTTAAGAAGTCTAATACAGGTAGCGTGTTATTCCTAAACATAAAGACTTGGGATGAGTAAATTTGATTTTTTTCGAATAGAATTCATCAATAACACTTACGAAGGACCATCATCAAAACTAATGCGATTTCGAAAAATAGATATCGTCGTTAAAAAACTAATTTTTGAAATTTATTACACTTCAAATGTGAAAATTTACCTGAAGCCCCAGTCTAAAATCAAGAATAAATTATTTAAATAAAAAAATACCACCTGTAATATAGAACGAAGATGAACGATGCAAGATATTTACGGCACCTTTGATTTGCGAACAAGATTCGATATCAGTACTACGGCTACACTTTGGAGCACATCGCCAGCTACAGTATGTATCTGTACTAGGACATATTTCACCTGAGATAGGAATATTTAGTATTGTAGTTTGATTAACGAGTGCAGTCCATGAAGGAACTGGAGGCGGCGCGACGTCTGTACGCGGCCATGATCCAGGAAGGTTTATCGCAGCCCAAGAGCCAATTATAAAAAATGAAAAGATCAAAGATGATATCAACCTATCCATTTCAGATTGTAAAGAATGTCCAAGCAAAAATTTTATCTATCTGTTTCGCAGATTTTTTTGTTGGTCCTGCGATGCGACCTCCCTGACAGATGGAAAGAGTTAAATAACGACGAATGTGTAAAGAATGTCTCGGCAAGAATATCATGTAAATGCAGTTAAATTAATTTGCATTTCGATATTTATACGAAACACAGACATATTGGACTCATGCAGGAGCAATGTCAAAGAAGTAAACGTCATCGGCTGTACGTGTATAACGATTCCTAAGAATTCTGTAACATAACATACATTGCATTGCTGAGTATGTATACATGTATTAGCGTTAGCTTGCACTAAACAATTGTGAAAACTGAATAGCACTAAAGGTAGTTCCATAAATAATTAATTTTTTATCGCAAATTCTATCATTGTGTGTAGAGATTATTATTAGTGCGATTGCGTACTGTACGTACTCACACGACTGGTCATTAATATTTTCACATCAATGTTTTAATTTCATTGGATCTGTTGTACATATACGTATTGGTTTTTAACATGTTACATTAATGTTTTCATTATCGGTACTTGCATCAATTTTTAATGCAGACAAATCAATGATGACAATAGTATACATACATGTATTTACGTTTATACATTTATGACCGTCTGTCATTTCCAAGCACACGAATAAGGTCGAACTCTCATGACTTTCCAAAGTTTTCATAGGCTGAAACAGAGACTACTACAACCCAGAAGACAGCCCGACTAACACTCCGTCACAGCCATGGGATCGTTGACCCATCATCTCCGTCGTGGAGAAAAGTGTTCGCGAACAGAAAATAATTGTGCTTTGATTAAGCGTTATGTACAAAACGACAAAAATAACATCGCAAAGCCGTCAATGAAGCGTTGAGTGATTTCCTACCCGGATGTGACGTAACGAGAATAAGTAGTGAAATTTGTCAAATGGATGAGAGAATTAGAGAGAGTGAGAGAATAATAGATCACCGTCTCAAGTTCGTTACGAAAATTTTCAAAGTTTATGTCACTACGTTAAATTTTTTTACTCTTTATTCAATAAAATTATATCGACATTAAAATCATCAATATTTAAATCCAAAGAAGTATAATATTTTAAGTCCCACCATATTAAACTTAACTAGATAACTGTTGTTCGTTGAGCGATGGCTTTGGCTTAGCCTGTAGTACTATTTTAGGAGGAAAAAAGCAACTCTTGAACTTGAGTGCCAAATAACCAGAAAGTAATGGCAAATATTGTTGCACCATAAAAAATAGTTTCTAATGACGTTATACCTTCCTTATTTGACGAGGTATTTGTCTTTTTGCAACGACAAAGATCTTCTTCAGCGACGCCTTTAAGAGCTATCGAATTTTTATTTGAAGAAAGAAGAGACATACTTCGTCAAACTCTATTTCATTTTACCGTATCAACAACGAATAACATTAATTACCATATTGAATGTGACGTCCACATCCAGCCCAAGTGGTTTTTTGACAACTAGCGCAAGTTACAGTCTAAATGAGAGGAATTATTATATTAACATCTAAAATAATGAATTGATCGAAAATAATATTAATTTGAACGAATCAAAAAAACTCACATAACACATTTTTATTAACTAATTTTCAATAGAGAAAGAGAGAGAGAGAAGATAAAGGTCGGTCAAAAATGTATTTTTATATTTATTGTAATAAATCAAGCTTGCTCGTTGTACAATGCCTTGGGTTATTTATTTCAATTTTGTATCACATGCACATACGTAATTGAATATGAGATTATGAAGAGTTTTTAGCGTTAGCGATTATCGTTATTATTCATTAGCGATTAGTCAGACTGAAATAAAAATATACACCATGCAGTGTTGTTGTCATTGAACAAATTATTACGTACAAATATCCAAAACATATTTGGTCATATTTATCCAACTGTCCAATCATTGAAAACACTGATATTTATCAACACATTCAATTGATTATTAGCATTAAATTGATAACATGTATTAATAATGACTTCTATTTGCTCAATTCTATAAAGCCTTGTTTCATTTACACATTTAACCAACAGACTTTCTGCGTATACATTGTTTTCCCATTTCCAAAAACCTTAAAACATTATTGCAGAAAAAAGCGCAGTTAACACAAGTAATAGCATCCTTTGACCAGTCATAGGATGTTGTATTCCAGCGGAATTCGTAGAAATGTCAGAAGATGGTGGTGCAGTAGCTATTACTACTTGGACCGTATACGATGGTTGCCAAGAAAATCCAGCAGGAGCATTGATAATCATTTTCTCAGTTTTGCAACTATTATTTTTTTTAATAAAATAAGATTAGTTATTTAATACGGATACTTTCCATTCCATCGATTAATTATCACTTACTGATTTTTTACACCACAATAGAATAGAACTGGCGATGTATCTTGTACAGTATATGAATATGTATATGGTGGGCTATGTGGGTCAACAGAAATTCCTAGAATTTAAATTAATTATTTAATTACTATTTATATGGATTAACTAAAAATAATATATGCGTTCGTACCATTAGCTTTTTTTGAACATGGGTTTGACATTGTTGACTGTATAAGCGAATGACTTCCATTTTTCCAATTCCATACTATAACATCACCAGGTTGAGCTTTTAAAATATTTGGTGTAAATGTATTTCCATCAATGTCTACAATCATTGTGCTTGCTGGTTTTGCAGGTGAACTTGTGGTTGTGGCAGATGAACCTGTAGTTGGAGCTGTTGTGTTAGATGAACCCGTGGTTGGAACTGTTGTGTTAGATGAACCTGTGGTTGGAGCTGTTGTGTTGACTGGCGGCGGAGGTATCAATCCTGCTGGGGGAGGTGTTGTGCCAGGAGGTATTATTGGTTGAGGAGCAGCAGACGTAGGATTTTGCTGAGAGGTTGGTGTTGTGGCAGTAGGTATTATTGGTTGAGGAGCAGCAGGCGTAGGATTTTGTTGAGGTGTTGATGTTGTGGCAGGAAGTATTATTTGTTGAGGAGGAGCAGACGTAGGATTTTGCTGAGAGGTTGGTGTTGTGGCAGTAGGTATTATTGGTTGAGGAGCAGCAGGCGTAGGAAACTGCTGAGGTATTGCAACTACAAATGTTGCATTTTCTTGTAGATTGATTAAACTAACAAGTGCCAGAATTGCAACCAGTGCGAAGAGAGATTTTAACTTCATTTCTAAAAATTTCGTTACTATAAAATCTTTATATCGCATAAGTCTTAGATATTAAGAAAATTAATCGAATATAACGATTTAAGATGCACTAAAAAAAGAGTTGTCTTCTTAAATTTTTATTTTTCAAAAGCAGTTTTCAATTCTAATAGAATCAACAAGTTCAGATAAAAGTTGGCTTTATCCGGAAAAGCTTGTCGTCTCTATTACTGAAAAAATGCCGCGTGCTTCACTAAAAATTACCAATGAATAATAAAAAACAAAGATCTAATGCCCAAAAGGAAGATTTATAATTGTTGAAAAGGTTGTTCGGTTATTTTGTGACATTGCATGAAAATTACCCCCCCCCCCCCGTTTTATATACAGTATTATGACTATGCAAGTAACTTCCCCAAATCTTCGCTAATGTTTCATCTAAATAAGATCATTTAGGCTTTTCTTATTTCTTATTCTATATTACTTAATCCTCTAGACAATATATCGGAATTTATGTAAAATGAGAGTTAGTATCTGTGATTTATTTTCAAAGAAAACTCAATCAATTCGTGTGAAGTTCCTTAATAGTTGCCAGAAATAAGATTGGTTCCGTGAATACGAAACATCCGAGTTTTTTTTTAATGGTGATACCATGTGGCGATTACGTATTACGTAATTTGGTTCATGGAGCAATTGTCACTGAAATTATTGCCATCATTATCGTTATGTTTAATTCGCATGCCACTGTTTAACTATTTAAATACATTATGATCCGAATTAGAAAGCGATAGCTCAGCAAAGAGATCAAATTCTATTATCATTATCGTTATTAAAATCGTGAAGAGTAACTTGCAGAATATCAAATATCTATGGTAATAAAATACTTACACATTGAAACTTGGCAAAAACGATAAACACGTGTATTCGTAAGTAGAAAAGAAGCGAACCGTATCGGTATTGCTCATTAACCAACGTTTTCTCGAACATATGTTGAATTTATCCATTATCAATAGCCACAAGCCATCAACAACCACCAATTGATATCAGTGTCGTCGACAATAAACTTGTGAGGATTTGAGCAACCGTAAGATTTCAAAGTTCGAATCTCTTTTTGCAAAGAAGCAATACCGATACAGTCAAACCCTCCTTCTATAGGCACGCCCATTTCTAAGTTATTACCTACTGTAGATCACTGCCTGAATTAACGATTATTCATTTTGCAGTTGCAAAAAATGAACTAAATTAAGGTTTAAATTTTCTGTGGAGGATTTGATGTTCCTAAGAGAGGTGACTATAGAGGTTTGACTATATATCAATTAGCAGTGTTTTCAATAGAAGCACTCGGAAGGTCATTGGACGGGTCATTGGAAGGCCATTGAAAGCAAAATTAATGTCACAATGGGCTCCCAATTGTCATAAAAGCCCACTGGAAGCAAAAATTGACAATTCTGTCAATTAGTATATTTTTATTATGCTAAAACAAGCTTGTATCAAAAGTTTATTTGATACACTCTAATAACAATCACATATTGGGTGCCTTTGCTAATAACTAAGATTTATTAAATATTTTCTTGTGAGAGGGTAAATTTCGAATCTCAATAGAATAAAAAAATCGACTCGTTAAATAAAAAACTATACGACAAGGAATACTTATTTAATATTATCTCCAACACACTGAATTATCATTTTTGCTATACTTGTAGATTTGATGGTGTTTGATAATCAATGGATGTCTTCACTATATCGAGTGTGAGTTGTATCCAAAAAAGACATAAAGGAGACCTCCCTCCCTCATTAATCACCTGATTTGTGGCATTCCCTAATGAAATCTGGCAGAAGTTCGTTCAATAACCAGATAAAGTAATAGATTAAGGAAAAAAAATTCACTATAGCTTATATCGAGAGAATATACTATATTGAGTGAAAGTTTATTAACGCTTCTGAAAAGCTTCTTCCCTATATCGAGAGGTTCACTATATCGAGAGTTTACTATATCGAGAGTGAGGCATTTGCGTGTATATTATAAATGAGTGTAACGAGTCAATCATCTTTTTCAAAGACAAGGGGGATATCCCAGCCACATTCTTCATAATACCGATAACAAACACGCGATCGATCATGAAAAGCAATCGAGATGTTTGTTGATCTGAAATAAACAAAAGTTTTGGTATCGGTATTGTCCGTGGGTCATAGCACAAAAAATAGTGATATTATCACTCAAGTATATGTATATTACTTTTACAAAAAATCAGACCTTTCAAGTAACAAAACACTCATAATATACTCGATTAAAATACTGCAAAAAACTTTTTTTTGTTTTTTTGGTTATGGAACAAGACGAAAATGTCCATGATAATGGGGCACCCGTCCTAAAAGAGGATGAGGTTGCTGACGCATCAATAGAGTCAGAGTTCTCGTTTGATAACAAATCCAATGATTTTTCCGACTTGCTAGAGTCACGTTTTTTCCAACGCAATGTAAAGACAGAGTCAATTGAAGACGAAGCCAAATACAAACCAGTGAAAGATAACGACACCTTGAATTTAAAATTGGAGGATATTAATTTAAAAGACAAACCAATAGATCCATTGAATAAGGGTAAAAACAAAGACGAGGAGAGTGAAAATGTAATTTTAAATGCTGAAGATGTAGAGGCTTTAAGTAATAGATTAGGTGGACTGGGAATGCATAAAAAAGGACTCCAGGGTTTAGATAAAGAGGAAGTCAATAAAATGATATACGAAACATCAAAAGTATGTTGTTTTTTGATTTTGATTACTCATAATAAAGAAAAGATGCTACAAGTATATTGTATTATAGGGATCAAAGTTTTTCAAAAATGAAGCTATCAAAGATGCGGCTGTCACGGCAAGAATCAAAAAGATATTAGAGAATTATAACATTGTAAAGAAACTCGACCTATCATCAGAATCCGCGATTGTAAAAGCCAAGCTCAAAGAATTAGAAAATATCAGAGACTTCACACAAACGATCGTCCACATTGACATGGATGCATTCTACGCATCGATTGAAGAGCGTGATAATCCCGAACTTCGTACAAAGCCGATGGCCGTTGGAGATGAGATGATGTTAGCCACCGCGAATTACGAGGCACGTAAATACGGTGTGCGGTCTGCTTTACCAGGATATATCGCAAGAAGGCTGTGCCCGCAATTGATTATTGTTCCTGCTTCCGGAGAAAAGTATGGATTGGTGACAAGTCAAATACAAGAAATCTTTTCGCATTATGATTCCACTTTTAATATGACGAGTATGGACGAGGCATATTTGAATATCACAAAATATTTGAGTAAAGCTGAGCAGACGCCCGACGAAGTTGTACAAGAAATACGTCAAGAGATTTCAAAGAAAACTGGAGGATTAACAGCGAGTGCGGGAATCGCTTGTAATATGTTGTTAGCAAAGGTGAGTTAAGTTATTAAAATTGATCAGTACGAAGCTTATTTCTCATAATCCTTTACTAACGTTGTATTAGATATGTTCTGATCTTAATAAACCCAATGGACAATATAAACTTGAAAACGACCGTCAATCGGTTATGGAGCTCATGAAAGATTTAAATATACGTAAAATTCCCGGTTTGTTATTGTAAAATTTTATATTTAATTCGATTTTTTATTAGAGAATCAAATTTATTTATTATACATACATACGTCTTTAACTGCAAAAGGTATTGGACGAGTAACGGAAAGGATATTGAATGCACTTGATATAAACACTTGTGGCGATTTGCAGGGTAAACTTGTGATAATCCATCAAGTATTCACTTACACTTTCTTCAACTTTGTTGCTCGTGCTGCTTTAGGTATTGGCTCTATAGATGTTGCATTGTGAGTGTTCTTTATTTCACCTTTATGATCTTTTATATCTGTTTATTTTTGTTAATGGTATTGTAATTAGCAAAATGAAAAGAAAAAGCATGAGTGTTTCGAGGTAATGTGATTTTAAGACTCGTTTCTAGTTGGTTCAATCGGAATTACAAGAATCTAAATGCCATGTTTTTCTACATACATGTTAGAACTTTTGCTGCACTGCATAAACCAGCCGATCTTCGAAAAAAACTCCGCGAATTGGCAAAACACTTAGAGAAAGATCTCGCCAAGCATAATTTTGAAGTAATATATGTTGTAAAATATTTAGTTTCCTTTGAATATTTTTGAAAGGAAGGTAACCATTCAAATCCTCATATTAGGGTTGTCATATCTCTTTGACGTTGAAAATGACTTCCTTTAAATTATTGACGAGAGGAAGATTGATTAAAAAGTTCATTTATTCCGCTGATGATTTGTATAATTACGGAAAAGTGGTAATGATTGCGTTGCATTATTTGCTTGAACGTGAATCAATAACGATAATTTTTTTAAATAAAAATTGTGTAGATTTTAGACGCTCATCTACCACTCAATTTACGATCCATGGGAATTCGTTTGACTCGTTTACGATCTAGAGATGAACCTTTAAAGCGGGGAATAAAAAGAGTGTGTTGAGATTTATGAATGCCATATCTAATAAAGTGAACAAGTTCTTTACTAATTGTATATTTTTTTAATAAGTATTTTGATTTACAAGAAGGAATCAAGCCAAAAAGATTACGTTCAGATACCCAATCCACCAGCATTGAAGTTTTCAAGGAAAATTTACCCAATGTACTACTACTAACCGAAAATACTGCAAGCTTACCACTTAGTCCTATTAAAGGTTTGGACAACATTAAAATCTTTAAGGATGAAAATAATAATGTCATTGGCGAACCAGGATCTTCTTCGATGGCCGCGTACCCTGAACACAAAGAAATGATTAAAAAACATAATGATACAACAATAGCACCACCATCATCCGAGATCAACAATATTGAGAAAGAAAACCCGTCTTGGGAGTGTCCGATTTGTGGCCAGGCATTTGTTACGTTATCTAATTTACGCATGAATACTCATTTGGATTTTTGTTTGGGAAAAGAGAAGAGAAAGAATTTAGGCATAAGGTAATCATAATTAATATATTGCATTTTTTTTGTGTTTCTGGTTGGTCTTTCTTACATTTGAATAGTAATAGTAAAACGAAACGAAGGAATGGAAACAAATCAACGAGAGCACGAAAAAACGGTGATAATACACGAAACATTTAACGATGATGTTGATACGTATTTGATTAATTTGATGAACACATTGTCGATCTTTCCAAAAAAATTATACTATGGGCAACTCGCAAACCCACAAAAAACTCTCTTTACTCGAAATTACTCGCACCAGACATGTTCGAAAATTCAGAAAAAAATTTATAATAGATTTTAGAATTTTGGGCTACCTAAATGTAACGAAAAAAAGGGCTGTTATATAATGATATTTCTGAGAAAATATTTTCGCGTTAAAAAATGAAGCGCAGTAAAAGTGAAAATACTTTTGGGAATTTCGAATTTTTGCAGAAGGAAATTATCATATATTTGTCTTTCTATATAAGTTGAATTTTATTAAAATTTCAGTCAGGTTTCTTATACGTATTTTTGAATTATTTGAAATATAATTATATTTCGCATAGAAGTACTGACATAAAGGTTGTTCTTTGACTGAAAAGAGGAAACTGTTGTGCATCATGAATATTGTATTTCTCAAAAATGTTTGTTTATTATGCTGAGGCAAGCGCGTAAAATAAGTAGTAAACTTGGTAAACCATCTCTTGATTGCATATTTAAAGAAAAATCACAGCTATCTCTAAATAAAACTAGAAAATTCACCATAAAAGTGCCATCGACTATGTTAATAATAAATTAAGGTTTTATAACAATAAATAACGTCCCTGAATCGAAACAAAACAAATTTAATATTATAATTATTAAGTATAAATTTAATTCGATATACTTCTTACCTTCAATAATAAATCCTTTCAATGTTGCGAACAACATAAAGCAGCGCAACAAATATTCGCGCAAATTCCAATGCAACCGCCAAAACACCAACTAATACATCCGGCAAGTCCTTCATTTTGATAATATCCCGGCCTTTTGCTTTTATACATACCACGAGTTCCGCTTGTCCAGTTGTTTGGAGCGAGTGGTGGTTCATTATCATCAGTATTGTTATTGTTATCATTATTTTCTGGTTTATTTTCTTCTTGTTTTGGAATGGTCATCGAAGTTGGTTCATATTGCGGAGTTTTGTCACTTGAGCTGATATTATTGTTGTTCGTATTATCGAAATTCGGTTGATTTGTATTATCTTTTTTATGGGACAATATAATCTTATCATTATTATTATTATTATCAACCTCGATATAACGATATACATGTACATGTACATGTAGTCGTGATAATTAGTTACATGTATATCGAAAATTTATTATAAAATTCGTTATACCAAGAGAATTTATTAGAAGTAATCGGTATATCGAGGTTTGACTGTATTATTATTTGCTCGTTTAAAAGTAAAAATAAGTTTTCTTACCAGACATGATTATTCGCTTTAACGATAACTAGACTTTTTTTGTTCCTTTTATAATTTTCTAATGAGTGATAATATACTTCGACCCAATATTGTTCAAGCAATAACAAGAAACAGAATGATTAATTTGTGGTAACGGTAATGATGACAGTTTTGTGTTTCGGGATGTTTACAAATAAGGCTAAAACGGCTACACAGCACAGATCTATACAAATATATCAATATACATGTAAAGTGAACTTGATTTCACATTTTGATAACTTTGGCAAGCTTAGAATTCGCGACGACGACGTCACGAATGATACCTCCCTCACTTTGGTACTGCATTCGAATGTTGTGGAAATTGCCAATTTCCGAAGAATAATTTCTATCCACTCGCCACATCAAACCAGGCAAGTTCTCCTCCATATGTTGCCCAATCTCTTGATAAAACATATCGAGAATCCTTGTGGCAGTTTCGCTAAACGGGGTGACCATCTCACAGATTTTTTCATAAAGGTAAGAATTTCTCATTAACCTTTCTTTTCCGATGATTCTAACTTCGGGAGGCGTCTAAAAATAATAACACATAAGTATTTGAGAAAATGCCAAAGTATTTATTATCTTAAATTATTCACGTAAATGACCTTTTTCATGGCAAAAGTAATCTCTACTTTTGTCTCGTTTGCGACTACAACTTCCATAAAAATTTTTTTCAATACACTCAGAAATTCATCAATCCTGGACGCAATCAATGATTCCATAATGTTAGATGATGCCATCTTGCGATTCTCGACGGGCTCCGAAAAAGGCATACGGAAATATTCAAACTCTCTTCTGAGATGGTCGAGAAAAGTTGGTTGACCACAATTCGAACAAGGCGACGAAGAGTTTCCTAATGGGAGGTGAATTAGTCCTGTTCGGTAGAATTGTAGAATGTACCAAAACAAGTGGCCATCCCGATTATAGAATAATTCGTCTGGTTCATTTTCCGCAATGTCATTTGCAATACGACTATCAGGCCAATTTATCAGAACTGATCGTTTCGTTTCGTACTAATTAGAAAATGGAAAAAGATCGTTCATTATGAAATTAATTTTGTAAAAAAAATTGTGTATTTTTTTTACCTTGAACCCACCAATATTTAGTTTAATTCTGCGATTTGTAAAGTGGTGGTGCTTAGGATATCCATTATTTTGTGTATAATAAGACATCGTTAAAACAAGATACAGTAATTAATAAATAAAACAAAATAAAATTCTTATCATCCTTAGGATATCGATATTTACATGTAGGTGTAATGTAACAAACTGATCATCACATTTGAAAAACGTGATTAAACATAAATTTATACATTTCGGTATACAACTATCGAAAATAAGTTTGCTATTAAAAACAATTCATTTTTAGTTGTTTATTTATCGTGTACAATAATTTCAGCAAGCGTAGTCAGGGGCTTTACAAAGTACCTCATGTGTTAGAGGTATTGGAACTTTTCGTGTTCAAGAAGAACGTGGATGATATTATCTTTTTTGCAGTCGTTATTTAATGATTGCCTATTAACCGTTTTATTTTTTTGGCAGTCTATAATTTGGATATATTTCGATTTTCCATTTCACACTTAAGAACATAGAACCTCGCGAGAATAACGATCTCGTCGTATCAGGTGAATTCGAGCACAAAGAAAGCATGGATCAAAATCATTTGAATGTGATTCAGGTGCTGTATCTTATGAAAAGCCGATCATCGTAAAATGTTTTTAATACAGTCGTGCTGTTCATTTACCTGGTAACTTGCAAACAAGGTTAAAACGAAGCTCAAAAATGGGCTCTTAGAAATTAGGGTAATTACGTAATATATTTCTTGTATAACAAACATTTTTTCCCTGACCTGATAGGCTCAGAAAACTATTGTATGTTTAATATAAAACTTTAGATATCGATATCGATATCGATATGCAAAATTCAACTTTTTTTGTACTATATTACATTATTTTTTTACCACTTAACGTTAATGTATTCTGCAAAAATTTCTTTGAAATCTATTATTCGTCAACGAGAAAATGTTTTATCTCGACGAATAATCCAACAAAAAAATCATCTTTTCTTTCAAAGAGATACTTTAAGGAATGATTCTTGTCATAATAAAACTCTGTCAATAATCAAAACAAAAAATTGTCATCATCGACAAATAGATGTTCGTCCATTCTCTACAACCACATTTGCTCGTGCACAAGAAGAAACTAGTTTTTCAAAGGAGTCTTTTCGGATTAACGAAAATACAAAGCATGTCTCTTGATTAACAATAAAGATTCTTCGTTTATTCTGCAATTTTGAATTATTTTTATTCTTTTTACAGAAACACTGACCCAATATCTCATAAAATTCTTGAAGTTGCTCTTGAATTTGTGCCAAAGCATGGATGGACAGTCGAAGCTTTATCGAAAAGTGCAGAGTCGTTAGGATATCTGTCAGTTACTCATGGGATGTTTCCGCATGGTGGAGTTGATCTTATTGATTTCTTCTTGGAGGAATCTCGACAGCAAATGACAATTGAAATTAAAGATAAAATGAATGGGTTGGTATTAGATTTTTAGTATATTTTATAACTCGATTAAATTTTTATATTGTTTCAGGTTACGAGTACCGCAAAAAATTCGATTAGCCTGCGTCACTAGACTTAATTTGACTAAACCATTAATTCATCGATGGCCTGAGGTACGCGCTCGCATATTTCTTTGAAAATTATTTCTAGAATTGTTTACTAATGTGTTAGAGTAGGCATTAGCGATTCTGGCTCAACCAAATAATGTTGGACTTTCCGCAAAACATCTCGCTAAGCTTTCCGATGAGATTTGGTTTCTGGCAGGAGATAAAAGTGCGAATGTGAGTCAAAACTGTAATTTATTGTTTTCGAGTTATGATAATTTGAACAGTAATGAATCAAATCTTTTTTGCTGATGTCCTAGATGAATTGGTACACAAAACGAGGTGAACTGGCTTTAATTTATGCCGCAACTGGTACTGCTTATTGATTATTTGATTGATTTCTTTTCGATTTTATCAGTTTTTCTTACATGTGTGTGTTAATTTAATATACCAAAGAACTGTACATGACACAAGACAAGTCTCCAGAATATCAGGCAACATTTGAATTTCTCGATAGAAGACTGCAAGAAATTGCATTTTTGGGTAAAACCATTTCGGAAGTGAATGCGTTTGTGAAGTTTGTTGGACAATCTATTTCGGGCGTTTTAGCTTCGGTAAGTTGAAACCATATATATATTTTATTTGTAATTTTTATAAAGGGAGGGATGTTTAGTTTAATTTAATTTCAAAATACGTACATGTAGAAAGGAATCAGGCAATGATCATTACGTATGTACATGTATATTGATGTGTGTCATCATATCTCGTCATCCGTACTACATATTATTACTCTTTTTCATACATATATAAAATACATGTAGAAGAATATCGATATCACAAACATGGTGGACATCACCTTATCATCTTATCATCGATATCGTATCAAATTACGCACTTTTAAGACTATCGTTATTTTCTTCCAAATAATTAACGATAAAATTTTCCGAAATAAAAAATTATTTTTTGTTCTTTTTTAACTTTTTGACTGACACACCTGGCTTTTTATTGACATATATTATAATAAATCAAATATCAATAAATCATATAATATAATAAAAAAATAATGGATACATCGCAATCAAATGAAACGGCGGCGTATTCGTCAAATATAGATAATAATCATAATAATGACACTGTCAATAACAATCAAAGGCAACGCTTATCAAGTAAAGTGTCCATAAATTATAACAATAGTAATAATTTTGGGCAACAATTATCCATCAACGAACACACACCCACCACAAATAATCCATTGATTACTGCAAGTGACAATAAAATCCATAATACATCCAATTTTCATACTATTGAAAGACAAGAAGCAATACTTGATTCGAGCAACAACAACAATAGCATCAGTGTGAATGCAAAGGATGATCAAGAGAATTCAATTCTACAATCAACACCACCACCACCACAAGTTTCAATTAAACAGGCATCTCAAGTCATCATCGATAGTCGAGGAGAAACGGATGTAGAACGATATGAATTGATATCTGGAGTATCGGAAAATGATCGTAATAAAATTTGATTTGATTCTTCTACATGTAAATTGTTAGTTTTTTTTAATAGGTCTCATCCTCTTTAACTTGAATAGAACTATCCAGCGACGAATTTTTTGAAGATGATTCATCTGAACTATCTGGAAATGAAGAATTTCAAAGCCCTGATGATGATGATAAATGTGTGATTTTGCGTTCTTTGCGTTCTTTTTTTCTGCGAATTTGATTTTTGAAGGGTGAATTCCTTTTTTTGTAGCAACTGTTGAGATAAAAAAAGAGCCTGAAACGAGTTCCACTTCTACTTGGGAAAAGGCAACTATTTTTATTATTTCGGAAAAAACTCCATTTTTCATTTAATTTAACAAGAAATTTTGGTAAAAGATTTTGGATCAATCAATAATTACCGAAGAAGAAAAGAAAGTCAATGCGGAATTCTTTTCCGGCAAAGCTGCGAAAACTCCCGAACGATACATGCGAATCCGTAATCACATATTGAACGCATGGATAAACGGCAAGCCAAACTACGTCACAAAAACCAGCATTCGTGCCGGATTAAAAGTAAATATCTAATTGTCTTTCGCAAATTTCTTTAAGCTTCCCAATCATAAATATTTTTTTTTTTTGGAAAAAGGATTGTGGAGATGTCAATGCCATTGGACGTGTTCATAGCTATTTGGAAGAAATTGGTGCTATTAATGTCGGTGAAGTGACACCGAAAGCTAGACGACCTTATCAAAGACGAAAATACGAAGAGATGATTTCTGACGAGCAAGATCTCAATGTTCGATCTATTTACTTCGATAATGATGAATGGACACCAACTGGGTTAGTCGCTTGGAAAATATCAAATTGTTCATGGTTATTTTTGTACACGTCAAAGTAATGTGTATCGAGTTTATTAAAAATTTTAAAAATCAATAATGGTTGACTAGACCCAGGCGGCGAAGGATCAAGGATGAATCGGGTCGCTGGTACTACTATTTATTTAGCCATTAGTTTATAATAATCAAATTATTTTAATGAGATTCAATAATACCAAGGGTCGACGAATCAGATTATCTAAATTATCAGGATTCCAGTCCAGGTATTATTATTTATTTAGGGGAAAACAGTATTTAGATGATTTATTCATTGAATTTTTTGTAGAGCGTCAGGGTTCTCGCATGAAACAGAGACCAAGAAGAATTCGGAAACAGCGTCGAATAAATTATCAAGAAATATCCTTTACGCTATATTTGTTACCCTCGCAAGAATAGAATTCAATGAAATGAGAAATTTCTTAACATTTTAATTTACGACGAAGACGATTCTATAGCGTATGATCCATTCCAATTGGTTCCCCCAAATGATCATGGAGAACTTCACCCAGCACCTTTTCGCGTAAATATCGAAGAAAGCACATTGGTAAATTGGAATTTGAATTCTTAACGTACGTGTTCCACAAAAAACGAACACAATATTTTAATAAATATTTTACTTAGCTTGTCATGGACTTTCACTCGCATCTCTCGCACACTGAAATAATTGGTTTACTTGGTGGCAAGTACCATCCCGATCAAACTCTATTAGAGGTTTCTTACGCATTTCCTTGTCAAAGCGTCAGTACTGGCTATCAGGTAAAAATATTTTCAAATGTTTATCACTATTGAAATATTTCAAAAGAAACAAAAGCTGAATGCTAATCAATAATAAAATATAATTATTGATAGTGTGAAATGGACCCTGGATCCGAAGTAAAGGCTAGAGAGGCATTCGAAGATCGAGGACTGGAAATAGTTGGATGGTACCATTCGCATCCAGTGTTCGATCCTCATCCTTCAATTCGAGATATGGAAAATCAAGGCCGTTATCAGGTATAAGCAGACATAACAAAATATGCTGCTGATAATTTCAAGTTAACACTGTTTTTTGTATAGGACTACCTGGCTCGTCCGTTTATCGGAATAATAGTCAGTCCGTATAAACCTGGAAATGGTAGCAATGTGTCGAAATTACAATTCTTTTGGGCCGATACAGAATTTGATCCTTTAGGCATTTACAGTAAGTGAATTAAATTATTGATATATAATTTTACGTTTCATTATTGAGAATTTTGACTAATTGATATTTTTATAAGGGTTGCCGTATGCATGCTTGACCGAGGTGGTGCATCCTCCGACTTGTCCTGTCGAGCTTTTATCTACCCAGTTTGCAGATCTTTTATCAGAATACCGCGATCACAAAGAGTGCGTAGTTTTAAAGTATTTCATGAATAATTCATTATTAAATTGATTTGTTTTTTTATATTAATTTTAAACATTCAATGTCAAAAAAATAGCCGTGTAGATATGAACAGCGCATGGTGCAATGGTGGCACCTCCAGACTCGATCATTTAATCGATTCACTATCATCTCATTTCGGTATTGAAGGAGAGCCCGCGCAACTATTCTTAACAGAAATTCGATGTCTAATTGAGCAGGATTTTACACCGCTCAAACACGAGGCTTTCGACAATTCTATGCTTGCTGATTTAAAAGAAGATGAGGATAACAAATTCCAAGTATCTTCATCGAGAAGGATAGTACCGCGCACTTCTGGTAAAACATATGATCCAAAAATGTTCGAAGCACGCGTTGAAGAAGAACGTCGAAACGACGCTGCAAAAGCTAAACTGCGGCTGGGGAAAAAGCGTCTGCCGTCGCCTGATCCGGCTTTCGCAGACACTACTACTGAGTATTATGAAGAGGATCAAGGACAAACTTTTATTAATACTGCTCAAGCTGATGGAACAGCATCTCAAAGTATTGTTGATCAACTTCCTGTGACTTCCGAAATTAAACTCGAAGAAGGTGGTGGTAATCTTGAACAAAAAATCCAAATTGATATAGAAATGAAGAATGAGGATGTAGTGAAATCTGAGTCGTCACTACAAATTTGAAACTTGTTTTATTTATGTTTATTATTATTATTTTTGGTATTTTAAACATTTTGTTATTGTTGGCGGGCGATAATTATTAAAAATATATTTCGACAAGCAATTAACGCCAATTGTTGCATAAAGGTAACGGTAACGGTTGATTCAAGTTTGCAGCTCTTTTTTTAAAAAATGTCACAGGAAAATTAATTTACATATCGATATTGAGGTTGTGACGTTTTAATTACGTACATAAAATTCCCTGATCGGCAATAATTTTTAAATTTTAAAAACCTCTGTTCTTGAATAATTTTAAAAAAACCCAAATAACCCCAACCCTGATCTTAACTCTAGCCCTATATATACCGGCTCAAAAGTGCCAATCCAAATGCGGCCGTTGTGAAGGACTTTGACCGTACATATACAATATGAAGTGATCAATTTCATCCAATTGGCGATGGATTTACCTGTGTCCAATCAGAACTTGATGGAGAAATTAGCCAAGAAAAGGAATTTTGCTAATTGGTTACACTAGTGTGGCAACTCTTATCGTTATAATATTTCACAACAGATACGTATGTGTGATCTACTGTTGCCGTTTTGTTGTGTTTTGTAAGTGCATTAATAAATCATCCCGTTAAAAATATTGATATATTTGGGGATATTTTTAAGTATAAATAAGGGCTAATACTTGCAACACTTGTACCAATATTGCTTCATTTAGAACATTCTAAAAAATGTCAAATGATGAAAGATTAGCAGATTCCTACGTTAGTAGCCCGATAGAAATCGTGTCAAATGAGGAAAGGGGAGGGATAGAACAACAACCTCACTCAACGGCAACTGATATGGAGCCACTTTCATGCGTGGTAACAACGAATCATGATCGTCCAGAATTACGTATTCACACAATGACACCGCCATCTTCAAATTTTCTAGAAGAGTCGAAAGCGCAATTGTTAATGAATAGAAAAGGGTCGCTTGTTGAGGAGGATGTTTGTTTCCCAGGAAATTCTTTAAATACGCAGGAAGGAATTGATTATCAAGTATTAGAGGAGTATCTTTTGGAGACAAAGGCAATACGGAAAGAGGGAGCTTCTGAGGAGGATTTTCGCATGATGTCTCCTATACAGAAAGCTCCGACGTTTAATTTTCAGGGTAAACTTGGAAGGAAATTAAGTTTTTACAGTGATCGTATCAAGGTATTAAACTTTTTACTATTTCTCGCGTCATGAAAAATCTACGATATTAATTTTGAGAATAACGATAGCCAGCTGCTGAAGATTTGAAGGAACAGTTACGATATACGTTTTATTCGGTAGCGACTGGTTCAATACGAGCACGTTCATTATCTGATATCGCATCTGAAGATACAACATTAAGTGAATTATTGAAAAAAGGAACATTTTGGCTTGATATATTGAAACCTACAGAATCAGAAATGCGCATGTTAAGCAGAGTAAGAAATATCAAATCATTTTGAATTAAATTAAATTAGTACTAAATTTTGTTTCTCAGATATTCCATATTCATCCATTAACTGTCGAAGACATATTTACTGAAGAATCCCGGGAGAAATGCGAACTTTTTAAAAATTATTACTTTATTTGTTTTCGAACATTAAACTTTAATAGTCAAAACTCAGGTGATTTGGATCCATTAAGCATATATAATGTTGTGCTTCGGGAAGGAATTTTGTCGGTGAGTTTTTATCCTTTGTCATTTAAATTATCCAAAAATTTTGTAGGCATATTCTTGAATTTTATTTTGCTTCCTAAAAAAACTAGTTTCATTTCGAGCAGACACCGCACGCACGAAACGTCAAACACAGAATCAAACAGTTAAAGGACTTTATCAAAGTTACTCCAGGTTTGTTACTGCTCATTTAATGCATTCTAATATGGAAAAGATATTTATGAATGACACATTCCGCAGATTGGATAAATTATGCAATTATGGACGACATAACCGATTCAATCGCACCCATTATTCTCGGCATCGAATCCGAAACGGAGACTGTCGACCAGTTGGTAATGATTCTCAAAGAATCCGAGCAGTCAGACATGTTACGAAGAATAGGGAATTGCAAGCGAAAAGTATTATTGTTGCTTCGATTATTGTCGACTAAAGCGGACGTGATTAGAGGATTGATGAAACGATGTGAAGATCGATTGTTGTTATCGGCGGCTGGTGAGAAGAATGGACTTGGCGATGTAAGCCTTTACCTTGGAGACGTTCAAGGTAAGAATCATAATCAAATTCATTTTTTGTTAAAGCAGAAATTTATCAATATTATAAATTATAAATTGTATTGTTCTCTTGATGTATTACTATAAAGATCATATAATTACTATGCTTCAGACTCTCAATCATTGCGAGAAAATTTTGGATCGATCGCACACAAATTATTTAGCACAAATTTCTATCGAAATAACAAAACTTAGCAATCTTACAAATGATGCAATTGGGAAATTGACTACTTATGCGACAATTATTGTTCCGCTAAATTTAATACCAGGTAAGATATCGGATTAAATATTTTAGCAATCTCTTTAACTTTTTGTGGTTGGTTAAGCTAGAGGTTTTTTTGAATAAGGTTTTTGGGGAATGAATGTCAAGGTTCCCGGAAGGGATCAAGATGATTTAATATGGTTCTTTTGGATTGTCTGGTAACTTTTGTTTTTTTCTTTATCTGTATTTTTATTCTGTAAAAAGGAATAATTTTGGATTAATTTTCTTTTTTTATTCAGTTCTTTACTATTTTGCGGAATTCTTGCGGCAATGATAGCAAGACGAGCCGGATTTATGCAATAAATAATATTATCTTTGTAACCATTTTTTAAGAATTTCGTATTATATCTAAGATTTATTTGTTTTATATGTATTTCACGAATAAAAAATTTTGCATCTAGATACATATCAAAATTAACATAAATTTTTATGAACACGTCGCGTTGGTGTTTAGTGGTTGACCATTTCCTTTGTAAATTTCGATATACCGATACGTACATGTAGAAATCCAGCTTTGCGACTTTCAATTCTGCAACTTAATTGGCTAGTAGTATTAGTAAAATGGTGCGCTTGGAGGTATAATTTGTAGTTTGTTAGAGCTTTTATTCATAGAGCTATAGGGTTTTTAGTAATCTTGAATTAAACTAATCCATGAGATTTTATATACATGTAATAGGTATATATAATAACGATAAGCGGTAGGCGATTATGAACACGTCTTTCTACACTGACATATCTTTGACTTTGCGGCGGTCAAATGTATATGAACTATATCGATATGCTCTTAATTCTCAAATTGGTTTAGTGTATGTAGCTATAATCAAATGCACTGATAATTGACGTAAATAACTAATAGCGATAGTACATTAATCATTTTCAATACCCCATCACAAGAACGTGCAAAATCAATCAGCACTAAGAACGATGCATACACGTTCACATAAAAAGCGGGCGGCTTGACGATGTATCTTCTAATAAAAATAAAAAAAAGGAAAAAATAATATCAGCTTGAACTCTTAGTATCTAAATTACTTGGCAAACTATAATTAAAGCCAAACTAACATAGAACAGAATTGCTTAATTTATTTAATTGCTAGTATCAAAACCATCATACACCACTTGACAAATACATGTCTAACTCAAAATTCAGAATCTCAAAATTCTCTGGTGTTGATATAGAACTGGTCTCAATAGTTCCGATAAGAAATAGTGATAAAGCTGCAATTATGTGATGCTTATTTGTCATCATATTACAACTTGTTGCAATCAAAAATTTTATAAGTCAAAATTGGTTGCAACATGGTGATTCTTTCTTTATTTATTTTCTTTTTGAATTAATTTAATTTCATATATTATAATTAAATTTTATTTATATTAATTATTATTTTTATAAATTAATTATATTTTTATTTATATCTTATATTTGTTAACTTTGTTAAATATTTAAGTTAATAGATAAAAATTAATTTTATAATATTGTTTATTTTGAATTTAATATTAATATATTTAAATTTAACTTTAAATTATTTAGTTATCAATTAATTATAGATATTATATATTATATAAATGCTAATTTCAATTAAAAAATATAATTAAAGTATATTTTAAAATTTTAAAATAATTTTTACCAATAATAAAAACTAATAATAAATTAACTTAACTTTAAAATATAATAATTATCTGAAAAAATATTATTAATAATCAGTTTATAAAAAATTCAAATAAAAAAAATATAATTTTATTGTACTTGAAAAAATTATATATAGTATATAAAATTATCAAATATTTATATTTTATAAAATAGATAAACTTCTTTACTAAGAAATAGATACAAAATTTAATTTATAAATAAGATATAATAGATTATTTTTGAATATATTTACAGTTTAAATTTTGTATTTTCTTAGTAAAAAAGTTTATTTATTTTCTAAAATACAAATATTTAATAACTTTAGAAATATATATTATAAAATATATTTTTTAAAGTTTTACAAATATTAATTTACTTTACAAAATTCAAATTTTTTACAAAAAAATATTTGAATAGTATTGAAAAATTAAAAATATAATGACAATTAGAAATAATGCAACAATGTCAAAATTTATTAATTAAATATAGTAAAATAGAAATTTTTCTTTTTATAGATAAGTTTTCAATTTTATTAATAAATATTTTTTAGTTTTACATTAAAATATGTAATATTATCTTTATTTAATGTAAAAAATTTATTAATAAAATTGAAAACTTTTATATAAAGAGAAAAATTTGTATTTTACTATATTTAATTAATAAATTTGATATTGTTATATTATTTTTGATTGTTACTATATAATTTATATTAATAATATAGAAGTTTATAATAATATATTATTTATTACTTTATTTTTTTCTATATTTATTAAGTTAAAAATTTGTTTATATTATATATTTATTTTTAACAAATAAAATTTATTTTTATATTAAACAATTATTAAAACCAAGATCAAAAGCTTAAAATAATTATTAAATTATTCTCTTTGTTTTTTTTTAATTGAAAAAATACTTTATAATTTTTTGATTTTTGAAATTGAATTTATTTTTATAAAACAACAACATATTTATATTTAATAAAACTTTTAACAAATAATTAATATTAATTTAGATTTTATAACTTGTATAAAATTTTATTAAATAATTAATATTAACATAATTCTTATAACTTGTATAACATTTTATTGAAATATATTTAATTTCTAAATGTAATTATATAAAAAATACTTTATTTTAAATAATTAAGTATAAATTTTGAATTTTTTATAATATAAATTCTTAAAATTAATTAATTTATTAAAATCTAAATTATAACTTTTAAATTAGATTATACTTTAAAAAACTAATAATATTTATTTAAAAAGCAAAAGATAAATTAATTAAGCAACAACAAAATAATAATTTTTTCTAAAAGTAACTAATTATTCAAATTATATAAAAGAAAAATCTAATAATTAAAATTAAAAATCATTTTTTGAAAAAGACAAAGACTCAAAATCTGAAGAAATTTTTTAATAAAAAATTATAACAAATAGCAAATTTAAATACTGTTATAAATACTTTTTATTATTATTCCAAATATTGAACTAAAAACAAAGAAAAATTATATATTAATTTGTAAATTTCAAAATAATAATTAAGATCTTATTAAATAACTTATAATTTAATTTCAATAATTTTAATAATTCCAATATAATAATTTGTTTAGTACAATATAATATAAAGCTCAATAATCCAATAATAGTGATTTTTTCAATATAATATAATCTAAAGTTCAAAGTTAATAAGATTTGAAGTATATAAAGAAAATATGAGAAATAAAAAGTATTTAAAAAAAGATTTTTGTTAAGAGAAATTTTTATTTTTAGTTACAATATATCAAGTTAAGACTCAAATAGCATCTTTATTTATAGATTTTTTGAAAATATAATTTTAAATAATAATCATTATCTAATTAATAATAAAAAATAATAAATAATAAAATAAATGATAAAAAAATGATAAATGATGAAAAGTAATAAAAATGATAAAAAATAATTAAACTAAAAAAAATAATAAAAAATAATGAAAAAGTAATAAAAAATAATAAAAAGTGATAAAAATGATAAAAAAGAGATGAAAAATGATAAAAAATAATGAAAAAGTAATAAAAATAATGAAAAAGTAATGAAAAATAATGAAAAATGATAAAAAATAATAAAAAATGAATAAAAAATAATAATTAATAATAAAATAAATATTTAATATATTATTTTATTATTTCTTAGAGATTATTATTTTTTTAAAGATTTTTAATATTTCCAATTATTTTTCAAATTCAGAATTTTTCTTATAATTTACAAAATTACCATTACTATTGTAACAATATTCTGATTAATTGTACTTACTAAACAAAATATTTTTAATTAATATATTATGATGAATAATATCTAAAATTATCAAATATTTGTGTTTTATAAAATATATAAACATTTTTACTAAGAAATAAATACAAAATTTAATCTGTGAATATGCTCAGAAAGAGCTTATTTTATCATATTCACAAATTAAATTTTGTATTTACTTTTTTGTAAAAAAGTTTATATATATTTTGTAAATATAAATATTTAATGACTTAAATATTATGTATTATAATTAAAATATTAATTAAAATATAAATTTTTTGTACTAATATAAATATGTTTCAAAGTTAATAAATTGAATTTATTTGTATTATTAATAGTATATTATATTTCATTATGATACTTTTTAATAGCAATTATTTACTAATTCAATATATTAATTATACTTTTAATAATTTTTTAAATACAAATTATATATTTAAAGTTTTGTATAATTAAATATTTTTATAATTTTATAGAATTTTTTTCAAAAAATAAATTTACTTGAAATTTTTTGGTAATTGATTTTTGTGCTTGCTATTTATTAATAATTTTATAATTAAAATTTTAAGAACTAATATTAAAATACTTTTTGTATTATACTATATGTAATATAATTAAAATTTTAAGAACTAACATTTTCTAAAAAAATTTTTTTAATTATTTTATTAATTAATATTAAATAAAATCAAGTTTAATAATATTAGAGTATCTAATAGATTTTTGTATATAAAAATATTTAGTTATATAATTTTTTGTATTTTTCAAATTATACTACATGTAGTATAAAGATCTAAATCCAATTTATTAATAATAACAAAAATAATAAAGACTTTTTCACTTTATTATTTTCACAAGAAAGAGATTACAATGTCTTTAGTTGAGGAATTCCAAATAATTTAATTATAACAAAAATATTAAAAGACTAGTCTATAATAAAATATCAATTCAATAATTCAATAATAACATTTTGATCAGCTCAATACAATTCAAAGCTACTTGTTCACAAGTTTTGAAGTGTACAGTTGAGAGGAGAAGATGAATTTTTTAAGTGTTAAAAGATATTTGTTTTATTATGTTATTTATTCTCAAGTTCCAACATGTTGAGTCAAGACTCAACTACAACTTGTATTTATACATTTTTTATGAATACAGATATAATATTAAAAACAAGAAAAGAATACTAGATCTTTTGCTCCAGCTATGTAACTTAAAAAAGTCTTGGATTAAGCAATAAACAGATTAAAAAATGTTCAAAGAATAAAATAATTGATGATTTTGGTTCGCACGAATTATTATTGTAAAATAACAAGTTTCTTATTGAATTTGAACGATTTTGTGGTGATTATAAATTATTGATCATAATTTATAATTTTATTATTCACCAACAAGTAAAAGTTTTTTAATAAATTAGATCTAAAAATGCATCACAATATGTCACCATTAATCAAACAATCAAAGCTTCATTTAGAAGATTGGTCAAAAGAATTAAATGAATAAAGAGTACAAAGAAGTAAAAGCAAAAAAGAATTCTATTTCAAGAAACTCAATCACAATTATTTGGATCTATTTACATTAATAGATCGATATGTAATCAAATTATTGCATAACGATAACGATAACAAAATATTAATATCGATATCAATATGTATTACGTGGTAGAATCGACATTCTTGTTTTACAAAAAATCTTGATTAATAATATTTTATGCGTATAATGATAAGATCATTCATAGTTTTACTTAATATAGATACAGACAAAGGAAAAATTCAACCAAGAAAGAACCTAAAAAAGTAATATAATATGATGAAAATGCTGCTTGGAGCACAGTTAGGCAGATAATTGACAGCTGTGCCATGAACCTGTTACACATTTCCAGATATACATGTACGTAATATTAAAAATATTATCAAAAATATTTTTTTGAAAAGATTATATTGTACAATGTAATTGTTTTTTCTTATCTTTTTGACATTTTTCATGTTGAATATTATATTTATACGTATAAAGTACTGCGTATAAGAAAAATATTGATACCCAAAAATGACACAGATAATATTCATATCAGCAAATTTGATTTTTTGTATTGTTCAAGATAGAATAGAATCAACAAATCAATATATATCTTTATTATTTCTCTTGTTTTGGTAAAGAAAATTTAACTCGGAAAAAATTTAAGTTTGATAATTAACCGATGTGCCACACTCCATCTTAAGCCAAGAATTCCATCTGTTTTCCAAAAGTTGCCTTAAATAATTAGAATTTCCAATTGAAAAGAAATGTACAGGAATAAACACCACCCGTTTTTTAGAGCCCAAGAAATGGTGCTTAATTTTTGGTAAAATCAAATTTTAAAGATTGGATTGTGTAAAAGTTTCTAAAAAATCATTAGCGCTAGATACGTAATTCTATAATTCGATGTGTCATTAACATTAATGATCACTGATAAATAAATAAATTAATTAATTAATTAATTTACTATAACAATTTTTATTCTAACCTTATTAAATATAGTGTGTGAGCAGGATGCTTAATTTTGGTTGTAATATTCCTCGAACGAATCAATAAGATACGGTGATAACTGTAGTCTCATCACTAATAATAGAAACCGCCTTTCTAACCTTGAAATTTTGCATAGTGTTGTTGCTTAAATACACCTTTCAAGTACTGTCTTCTAAACATGTCTGCTGAGGGAATTGCACCTCCTTTATCGTTATAGTATTGTTTCTGAAAAATTACAAAGCTTATCGATTTTTCAATTGGCCTCTACCAAGCTATTATTTGCTTTTTATCTTCAACAGCAGTAACTGAAGAATGAAGATATTGCTGACGTTCCACTCGGCTTGCAGTATTATATAATTCCTGGTACGTTTTATAGTTAAAGTAGCCTTATTTTGCCGGTGAATACTTAGGTTACAAAAACGGCACATCAAGTCCTCAAAAAACTTGCTGAATAGAAACAATTCTACTGTGTTCCATTATTAAATCTTTTGAATTACTTTAACCTCTAGAACATTTTGAACATTTCGACCAATTAAAAAATAAATCATTGAAATGACTAAATGACCCATTTTTTGTCGTTTGGTTCGGTGACTAAAAATTTAAAAATAACATTAGTTAGTGTAATAACTTCAAAAATTATCGTTATATAATTAATTTGACACCATTTAACTTAAAAATTCATATAAAGTTGTAAATGATTATATCTATTCCCCCCAAAAGTGATAATCTGATTCCAAATAAAAACTAAAACAAATACAGTATTTTTTGAATTTATTCAGTTTTTTTTTTTTTAAGTTACAACAAAGGGCATGGTCTCATTAGAATCTACTAACCTATTTATGTTTTCCTTTGCACAATATCAAATATTATATCCTCCAAAAACAAGAACAGGTCAATTTCATTCCCATATTCGATCTTTTTATATCTGCTAATCTAAAAGAAAGTTCTTCTGAATATTACGACGACAATTGTAAGATCTTGCGTGTTGAAAGTGAATGCTTGTAAACTCAATTATCGCCCTCGTATAACCTTGTAAAATATACGATTTCTTTTATTATTTCGAACCTTTTGCTAAGACACTTTTTTCTGTTTGATCTTTATAATCTTCGAAATGTCAAGTGTTTCTGGAATTTTTAGGTCGTTGACTTTATAGGAATCGCCTCATCCAAGACTAATAAATACTCATCTCCAAGATTTCTGTTGAATAAATTGTAAATCTAAAAGATTCTCCGAGTACCTCTTTAACTGTTAACACAAAAAAATCTATTCTTTTTGAGAAATTTAGCGCGTTGGTTCACTCTACGAAATGTGATTATGTTTTTGAAGAATTAATTGTTAGGTGATAAGTAAATCAAGTGTTCCACTCATAAATCTATTGAACGTAAAGAAATATTTACCTTTAAATCTCTTCATATCAGGTTTTTCGAATAAATGTATCGCCATCCTTTCTAGATAATGCGATTGAGCTCCATTCTACCAGTCTTGAAATTTCTTTTAATGATGCGACCCCCATCGGATAAAAGTAATCTCACTTTTTATAAAGCTTCCTTTTTCTCTCACTGATTACCCGTTAATTACGTAACAAAAAATAAAGGTAACCAACGAGAGAAAAATAAAGTTTTAGAAAAAGCATGTGTCGACGTCTGCTTTTCAAGAAAATTTTTACACATCGAATGATCGTAAAATAAAAAGTATACGAACTTCATTTATTATTAAATATCTAATGTTAAATTACATAATGTATATCGATACGATATTGTTTAGATTCATATACGTAACAATAAAAAACAGATAGATTTATGTTAGAAATAGCGAAAATAGATAAAATATAAAGAACTTAAATCGATAAATGAAGGAAAATAAAACACCTTAGATTAAGAAGAGGATTAAAACTTATGATGCTTTCTATATGTATATATAAAATATCAGTGTAGAACAAAAACTACTTTACTGAAGGACTACTTACTGAAGGGAAAGAATTGCTAGCAATTGGGAAAAAAATACTATATGCAAGACTAGCGAGATTCTTCAAATCTTCAAAACTACACTTAGAAAGATCTTGATTATTTATTATACCGATATTCTCGTTACTAATATTTTTATTCATCTCTTCTTCGTCGGGTTTATCCTCCGAATAATACACCGCTGTATAATTATTTAACGATTCAGCGCCGGTCGTAGTTTTTGCTAGCGCATTCATTAGAGCTTCAACTCTTCCAACACTTTCATTGAGAGTTTTTACTCGTTCTCTTGATACATCACAGTGATCACAAGGAGGTTTTTGCGAGGATTTATTATTGGAAATTTCGTGGAAGAGCTTGAATTTGTCGTCCACATTATGATTACCATCAACAGGGCATTTGGAAATCGAAGGTGGTATAATTAAATTATTCATGGACGGACTGCTTCGTTTAGTTATTCTTTTGTTCTTAGTTTTTGTAATTTGGGACTCACTCTTTGAATAAAAAGACATTCTTTTACGAATTCTCAAAAGATAAAATTGAATTGTTCTGTGGGAAAGTTCAAACTCAAAGCATTCACAAAAATCGAATCAGACTTTAAATACATGTACATGTATCAAATGGACTTTATAATCCGTATAACGGAATTACATATCCGTCATGATGTTCCTCAATTGATCAGCTGAGATATGCGTGAATAACTACGTACGTTCGTACTGCACATGTAAATAAATCAATAATAATAACGATAAAATTATGTAATATTTCTATCACGTTACTCAGAAATGTTAAATTTCACCCCTTTTTTTAGTTGCTGATTGATATCGATATTGATTAGCAAATGTGTGAAGTTATAAATGAAAAGATAATAATAACGATAAAGATCTTTGATTTTATTCTGTCATCAACAAAATGACTACCGCTACAGATATTTCTACTTATCGTTTCGTAAGATTGTTTTCCTAACGCTATGCATTTCTTATTAAAGTTTATGATTTGTGGGATGCTAAAAGTACGGCGATGTTTTTTCTTTCGGGAGTTAGAATCATACAATGATAAGAGTAAAGGATCCGGTGGCGTCGCTGCAGTTTTATCAAGATGTTCTTGGAATGAAGTTTGTTTACAGATTTCAAAATGGCTTTTTACATCATCATCATTGGATGTTTTTTTATTTCATTGAGAAAATTTTTCCATGAAAAAATACAGACTGATCAATCGGGTAGATTTTGAGAGTGGTAAATTTACCCTTTACTTCCTCGCTTATGTCCCAGAAGGCGATCTTCCGGAATCCGAGCAAGCGAGACAAGCTTATACTTTTAGTCGTGAAGCTGTATTGGAATTAACGCAGTATGCATTAGTTTTTTCGATTGACATTAATCGAAAATTGAAATTATTAATTGCTTGATCTAAAAGAGGCCTCCCCCTTTTTTCCCTTCTAAACACAGCAACTGGGGAACAGAGCACGACGAGAACTTGCATTATAGCAATGGAAATAAAGAACCTGGTCGCGGGTTCGGTCATCTTGCTATAACCGTCGATAATATCGAGGCAGCATGTGCTCGATTTGAAGGGAAAGGCGTCACATTTGTCAAACGACTCCAAGATGGTAGAATTACATTTTCTTTTTAAATATCTATGATTTGGGCTTTAGATTGAATGCTTTGATTAATGTTTTTCTCCTAATTAGGCACTATGAAAAATATCGCGTTTATTGCTGACCCAGATGGTTATTGGATTGAAATTATTCCTAATGGGTTTTCCACAGTTTAAATTTCTTAGTTAATTATATTTACTTTTACATGTCATTTCTTCAAATAAAACGAAATATCAATTAAATTTAAAAAATTACATATCGATATTTACGTAATCAATCACTCTTTTGGTGTTCAGGCTTATGACTAGTCTCATAATCGACGTGCACAAAAGCACGTTCGACATTTGGCAAACTCTCAAGTTTCACTTGTAAACCTTCACTGATATCGTGACATTCCCAAAGTGGCGTGTCACGATCCATTACAATGTCAACTTCAACAATGAGGTTGTTTCCAGCGTGGTAAGCACGGCATGTATCAACCTGCAGAATTTTTTCGTCGTGTGTGAGAGCTATTAAACCAAGAAATTGATGATTAATTTCGTCGTAATAATAATAATAACGATAATGAATAGATAGAAATAAGATAATTACAAATATATGTTAATCGTTGTAAGGCTGCTGGATCTGCACTTTTTCCCACAATCATTTGAACATGTTCTTTTGCGGTTGAAACCCAACTTCGCAAAATTATCAATGCCACTAGAATACCACCAATTGGATCAATCCACCATGAAATGTGGTTACCTAATATAGACATTGTCAGACCAAACGAATTTATAATCATGTCGTTTCTATGATCTAACATAAGGATGGCAGCTGTCGGATTCTTTCTGTGAGCGTAGCAATAAAGGAATAAGCCAAATTTGGCCACTAAATTTTAAAAATCAGAGTTAACGTTAATTATTTAAATCATAGTGAGTGATTAATTAAATCAACTAGTGAACGAATGAACCAAAACCTAATGCGATGACAACACAAAGGATAGACCAAACAGTTAGATGTGGTTTTGTGTGTGTAGTGCCAACTAGCGATTTGATTGATTCAATCTATTTATTATTGTAAAGGAAAAGTTTAGAATCTTAAAAATAATACCGTCCGTCAAATAAATAAACTTACAATAATCTGAAGTGACAACGTGCTCATGAGCGTAGAAAAAATGATGATTCCGGTAGTCTCCATTCTAGATTTTCCCTTTTGTTGATAGAATCGTGTGTGTATTTGTCATATTAATAACTATAATAAATAGATATATCATAACACTTACGCTTGGATAGTTGACAAGATCTTTTTTACTCGCTGCCCGTGTCGTATATACCAAAGTACCATTAGACAGAAGGTCCATAAATGAATCAGCCATTGTAGCAAATAAGGATAATGAGGCAGATGAGATAGCAGCATATAATTGAAGGCCAAAAAGTAAAATATTAACACCCATTGATCCATTAACTGCTATTTTAATCTTTAATTTAATAAGAAAAAGACAACAATGTTCAGTGATGGTGGAAATTTAATTTGCAAATTCATTAAATATCCATCACCTTTAAATTATATGGCACTTGTTGTTCTAAACTATTTATAGGTGTAATTAAATCGTCGATAAGGTCATTTTGATCACGATAAAATGCTTGCACTTTTTTCCCTTTTTTCTTGATTTCCGCATCTGACTGTCTTCTAGTTTCAAGATATGATGGGTCAAGTGACGGGCTACGAGTCAACAATGAACTTGAGCCAACTGCTACTGATTGGGAAGGTGGAGGTGTAGCCGCATTAATTCTTAGCGATAATTCCGAGTTATTTTTATGTAATGCTGAAGTTTGTGCAACATTATCAAAATGTTTGTCACCATTATTGTTAATGGCGCTCGTGGAAGTAGAAGGTAAAGATAACTCCAAGACCGTTTCTCTAGGTTCGAAAGGATCAACAGCTTTTTGCTCGAGGATTGTCGTTGCAATAATTAAAGACATTTTTTTCCATAAAATTTTGATCTTAATGCTAGTTTTATATACCTGATTTACGTACTAAATGATTAATTACAAATAATACATATCGATCGATACACATGTGCATGTATAATGTGGGAATATTTTGATTACATTTGGCTGATGAGATTGATAACATGCATTGTGTGGCAAATTGACGTACGTCATTTTAAGGGTCATGTGTCATTAAAAAACAGGTATATATTAGAATATCGATATTCGAGTGCGATAATACATGTATATCGATATATATATATAATGATAATGGCAAACGAATTTAGAGAATACGAATGATGCTGCTGCTATCTTTAAATCTCCCCAACTAAAAAATGAATTTTTTAAAATTAACTGATCGTAATCTATATCTGAAAAAGCTTTGGTATCTGTTATCATTTCACTTATTCATGCGAGTATAAAAATAATTAATCTTCAAATAACGCCAATTATGTAGTCTAATTCCCCGCAATTTTTGGTCTAATAAAAATTGGTAGCTCAAAATTTATACACATAACTTTGGAATATACAGTATTTTTAAAAGAAATTTTAAACCATTTCAAGTATACTTTTATAAAAGAGTTGATATATTATAAATACTAGCCCCTTCTCAGAATATAAGTTTCTAGTGTTTACTAATTGAAATACATCAATAAAATAACTTTGGTAAAATAAAGGATATAAATACAGTGAGCGCTCGTTACAGTAACACTCTTTAAGATAACATCTCGTTATAATAACACAAAATCTCTTCCCGATCTCATTAGTGTAATAAGCTTGCATAATATTTATTTTTTCGATAGAGTAGTATCTCGATATAATAACACCAAATCTCCTCCCCCGATCACGTTATTGTATCCAGCGCCCACCGCCCACCGTATATACCAATTACATGTATTTATTTTGAAATTATTATAATCATTGTGATTACCAATCAATCGTGAATCACCAATTACATGTATATAGTTAAAAAAAATTTGTTTTCTATTCGCTTGCCCAAAAAGCAAATCCCGTTGTTTCTATGCTTGGTGTTCCATATGTGTTCACTTGAACTTATCAGTATCGGTATCGGTATAGTGAGTTACTGTATCTTTATTAAATTAAATTTGACAAACACAAAAGAATTTTCTTTCGTAAGTTCTTTAGAAAAAAATTAGCATATGGTTTGATCCCCAATCACGATGAAAATGTAACGTATTAGAAAATTTACTCGTAAACAAAATAAAAGATAGTTTATCTGTGTCCAATAGAACATTTTAAGGGTACAGTATTATTAGATGAATACGGTTTTTTCAATTAACCTTCGAAAATTGTTACCGCCTTCGAAACTCTCTTTGTAAGGTAACAAACCAATTGAAATTTCAAGGATAAAGTTGGAGTAAACTTTATGTATAACAAAATTAAAATGACATCTTGATAGCTGACAAATACAATAAACGCGACTGACCTGTTTCGCTAGTTTTTTGAAACTTGCCACTTATTGGGTGGAGATATATTATAAATTATGATTTTTTTTATTGGCAGGTAGCTGTGGTGCTTTAGCGAGTACACCTAATCGGAGGTTGAACTCACACGGTTGGCTAATGACTTTCCAAAGCGTGACAGCTCCATAGGCTGAAACATAGACATCCCAATGTCCACTACAACCCAGAAAACAGCCCGTCATAGCTATGGGGTCGTTGACCTATCATCTCTATCGTATCCTATCAATGTTATTACCTTCTTACATGAACATTTCGTAACGGTCTCCGTTGTGAGAATTTAGATAGAGGAAACGCGACGGATATTACAAATCCCATGTACTAAAAAATCAAATTCCAATTACTATAGTCAACTCTTGATATAGTAAAGTTGAGCTCAAAACAGTATATATTAAATCCTTTTGATATAGTGAATTTATTAATAAACTCTCGATATAGTGAATTTTTTCACTATGGTGCATAAACTCTAATTTATCAAACGTTTGTATTTTATAAAATGAATAAACTTTTCAACTAAGAAGTAAATACAAAATTTAATATGATAGAATAGACCCTTTCTGAGCATATTCACGGATTAAATTTTGTATTTACTTCTTAGTAAAGAAGTTTATCCATTTTATAAAATACAAACGTTTGATGACTTTAGATTTTATGCACCATAATAACCCGAACACCTTCACTATATCGAGGTTTGACTGTAGTTACTAAAAATTATAGTTCAAAATTTATAGTTATATTGTGTTCTGGCCACCATATGTGCATAATATTAACATTAATAGCATCTCAATTATTAATAGAAATTAATAACAGTAACTAGTCAAAATTTCTTAATAAAATATTAAAAGAAAAAATTCACATATCTTGGCTTATGCCAACCAAATTATGAACAGAATAGATAAATATTATTTCAAAAAAAAAGATCCGGATGAACTATTTCCATAATGACAAACTATTGTAAAAATTTTTCAATAATCATTGATATTCTATTTTCATATATTCTCATGCCTTGCACAAACAAATAGAGGGTGTCAGTAAAAAAGGGACAAATTACTCTAATGGATTTGTCCCTTTTCTATTAACGCCACCCTATTTGTTTGTGCAAGGCATGATGTTTCAGCAATAATATAAATCATTTTTTCAAGAGCTGGCTCGATAAGAAATTTATCAAATTCCATCTTTACAATAATAGTTGTTTATAAAATTTTATCTTTATCTTGTTTAGATAGTTAAGGTTATGCTTTAAGCGTTGTATAATAAATGTTTTATCTGATCATATCATATAGTACATAGATTTTTATTTTTTATTATCTGTATAATCATTACTTTATTTTTGATGGTATTACACTAATACTTGAGTTTGTTGTACCAAATATCAGTAATGGTAAATGATTTTAAATGATTCAAATGATTCTGATGACAAATAATCAATGTCTGGTTATGTTAAAGGTCGAATGATCTAACTGATCATTTCAAAAAATCAAGTAATTATTTGTATATTTATAAATTGATAAGATATTTTTTAGGAATTAAATTAATCATTAAACTTTATTTTGAAAAAATAGAGCTTTTTTCAAAAAATGATATAAAATTATTTTTTACATGAATATCCTGCTGGACCAAAGTGAAATTTTAAAAAATAACTAATTATATTCATTATAATAAGTTTATATCCATTTATTAGATCAAAAAATACCATGAAAACTGTTATTTAAGTAATGCAAAAAATTAGGTTAATAATAGTAAAACAAGATAAATAAAAAAGATAACAAAGACAGAATATAATATTATAAGTATTCAAATATAATAAAATATGATATTGAAATTAGTGTAAAAATTATAAATCAATATTTAGTAAAGCTAATAATAAATATATTTTTAAATTCTTGTTCAAACAAATTACTAAATAAAATAATTAAATTAGATGGAAAATATCAAAACTTTGATTGAAATCAGATTATTTTTACAAATTGTTTTAAACGAGAAAAAAAGTTTGAGCAAAAAAAATATTTTATATTGTCAAGTATTTGCTATTCATGTTTGAAATGTTTTCTATTTTGATTTCAATTTTATATGTAAATCTATAAGTATGATTTTTTGATTTCTGTTTTGAATTTTTTTATAATAACTTAGATTAATTTTTGCAAAAAGATAATAATTTCAAGTATCATTCAAAAATTGTGATGAACTGAAAAACAAAATGAAAAATCATAGCACTTTTCTCATTATCAATATTTCCATATCAAACTTCTATAAAAAAATATGTGGCAATTAATAAAAATCAATTTAGCAAAATTGCACTGTTTAAAGTTTTGGAAATCTTTAATCTCTTTAACCTGATTTAAAAATAATAAATAAAAGCTTTGCAATATCAAATTTGAATTTTATTTTATAAATGATTTTTTCAAGAAATTTAGTGATATTGCTCTTTAGTAATTGAATTTATTATATAATATGAAATAATTATGTAAGTGGTGATCCGCAAGTAATTGTAGGTAAATTTACTGTGTTTTCACGTTCTGAAATTTGTAGCTGCTATATTTTAACATTTGATATGAATGATATTTACCGGCATGTAAAGATATCTTTGAAAATATTATTTAAATGAGATGTATTTTACTTAATACTTATTAAATTCAATTTAAGAATCAATATCTTTTTATTATAGATCTAAATTGGTATCAAATTTGTTGAGATATCAGTCTCAGAGTACCAAATTTCAATCAATGAAAAATTGAGTATCCCGTGACCTACAGAGTGATAAAAATATTGAATCGCATTTTTGAGAAGTATCAAGCCGTGTTTATGCTAAACAATATATTTTTGTATTTTCTATTTTTAGCTTTAAAAAGAATATAAATTCAGTAATTTTGGGATCTTCTCATGTTTACTACATAAATTTTTAAAGCTAAAAAATATACATGTATTAGTTTGCACATTAATTTATAAACATAGCGATAGCTCAATATTGATTGTTAAATGTGCGGATGTAAAAATAATGATTTTAATATCATCTTAAATTCACAAACAAATCAATTTTGTCCAAACCATATAATTAAAAGTTAATCAATACGTAATTTTGTCACCCCTTATCATTTTTGATTTTTGTCACGGTTAAAAAGCTTCAGTAGGTCAAAATTTTATCAACTGAAATTTTTGATGTAGAAGTTTTGGATCTAACGGAGACAAAAATCTTGAAAGATTTTTTTAAGGTGGTGCAATAATTATGGAAGACCCTGTAAACATGTTTAATAATAATACAAGATACTTTCGACATTGAGAGTTTAATTAGTTTTCACCGTAGTGAACCTGAACTCAAACGGTCTACATAAATCCTATCAATATAGATAATTTATTAATAAACTCGTAATATAGTGACTTTTCTCTAATAACCCGAACACATTCACTATAACGAGAGTGGCTTTGTATACAAGAATTCATAAAAAAAATGTGTATGAAAGATGCGCGCCACAGAAAATTAACTCGTAACAACTTATCAAATAATACCGGTCCTTGTGCACTTCAATCGAGGCCGTAAGCTTTACAACGATGTGTGCTAGACAAAAATTCACAAACTGTATAGAATTATTACCTCATCTTTCAGTTTCAGATACTGTGGACTCGCGAAATTAATGCAGGCCGCAGTCTTTGTCGCGGTTTTCCTGGGTCAACGATCATGGTTATGAAAGAGCGTTAGTCAGACTGTCTTCTGGCATTTGAACGTCTATGTTTCAGCCTATGGAGTAGTGTCGCATTTTGGGAAGTCATTAGCCAGCCGTGTGGGTTCAACCTCTGATTCCGACCAGCCGGTCATGAATTCTGAGTAGCGTATAATGAGAATACAGTCAACTTTTTACAATAAGATTTTTTTGCCCAAAAATTTATTACAGGAGTATTAGTTATAAAGAGTATTTAGTTATAAAAGCTGTTGCATTATGAATCTGGGAACACATATCGATGTGACTTTATGCGCAACAAATTTTTCTTCATTTATTAATAATTAATTATACACTTTTTGTATTTTGATTAAAGTATCCGAGACTATTCATCAATATCGAAAGGATATTTACGAGGATCTCTACTGCTACCTGCCACTACTTGATGTTGGAGATATGCGTTATATTCATCATCATCATAAAATTCATCTGGAAACGGTACCACAAGGCCAGGTGGAACTCTTTCCCTTACAAATCCAATTTGTTTTTCTTTTGATAATTGTTCTAATGACTGTTTTTTCGTCTCAGGTACTAAGAAATGGGTTATTACAAATCCAAAAAACATGAATACTGCGAAAAAAATTAATAAACGATTCACAAATGCGTTTGGTCCGCCTTTATCTTTTAGTTGAATGAATCCTATTTGTGCGATGATTGCTCCGAATTTTCCCCATGCTGCCGAGATTCCGTGTCCCGTTGATCGATAACGAGTTGGAAAAACCTCTCCTGGTATAATAAAAGTTGTCGAGTTTGGACCGAAATTTAGGAAAAACTACTTTTTGAAAAAAAACTGTTACTGTGAATAATTCATCTTTACTGATGTTTTTACAGTATTTACCTTACCTGAGAAAGCGAAAAAAGTGTAATAAATAGAACTAGTGACGTTTCTTTTATTATTTCATATCTAACTCGGATAAAATATAAAATAGTAAATTTTTGAAAAACTGACAGTTAAGATTTCAATTAAAAACTCACCCAAAACCAAGGATCAGAAACAATACAGTCAAAACCAAGAATCCCATTTTCTGAATAAATTTTCTGCCCCATTTTTCTATAAAAATTACTGTAAACCAATATCCTGGAACAGTACCAAGCATACTAACAAGGATATTGCCTACTGACATATTCCATAATTGCTTATATGTATCTGTGGAATCACTAAATCCAATTGCATGTAAAATAATCGAGTTGTTCAATCCTATTCCATAGAACGCAATATCAAGTACAAACCTAATTAAAAAAAATATTACTGTCAATATTCATATTATAGAGTGACACGTGCGTGTATTAAGAGAGATTACCAGCTTAGACTAGTCCCAATTAAAATTTTAGCATTTTCCCATTTCCCGAAGTAACTTTTAAAATCTTCCCAATTATGTCTTGGAACATCTATATAAACTGAAGTATAATCATCAATCATAACCGCAGATTTTCCTTGCTTCACGACCAACAAGACATCATTCGTTGCTTGATCAATATTTCGTTCTACATCTATTGTATAACGTGGTGTCTCTGGTATTGTGAGCCGAAAATAAAGTGCTACACATGCAGGAAGAATTCCTATCCCGGTTACTATACGCCATACATAGTCCACATTCAATGAATTTAATTGAATTTCTTCTTTATAGATTGCCAACACACAGACAGAGCATATAGCAGCTGATAATATTCCGAAGCCTTGAGTGGAGAATACAGCCGCCATCATAGAACCTCTTCTGTTCTTTGTTGCAAATTCACTTGTTATTACTATATAAAGATTAAAAAGTTTGTTCAATAATTTATTTACTTTTATTCAATAACCCCAATAATCGAGTTTATACTTACCAGCGGACATTGGATAATCACCACCTATTCCTATTCCAAGAAGAATTCGCCACATTATTATCGAAGTATAAATCGGTAACGTGCGTGATTCACCAGAGAGACTTTGTCCCAGAGTAGCAATTATCATTATACTGAGCTCATATCCATACATCTATTGCATGTATTTATTAAGAAATAATCTAAGTATAAACTTTCAAATATTCAATATAATATGACATTACCTTTTTTCTTCCATATCGATCAGCTGCTATTCCAAAGAATATTTGTCCAATTAATGTTCCAACTGCTGCGGACATCTTCAGGCCCAAATCAATATTATGGGGCAGATTGCCTTCGAAATATATGATACCAAGCATCGATGATACCAGATTTATAACAAATAAGTCATAAGCGTCTGTAAAAAATCCTATTCCAGTTACTAAAAAAATATAAACTTATTATTATTGTAATCGTTTAATTTATTCAAAACATTGTTCGATAATCTACCTATACATGTTCGGATATGAAACCAGCCAAACTGAGTATTGTCAATTTCTTGGAATATCGCTCTTCGCTTTCTGTCAAGATCTTCAACCGAGCGAATCTGTTCATCTCTACTATATTGTGGATTACTCCAATTACTCTGATTACTCTATCAATTCACGTTTTAATTTTAAATTTTATTTGAGTTTCGTATTAAGATTATTTAAAGAATTATTTTCACTTACAAATGCCATATAAATTGTTTTGAATATTAAGAATATTAAAAGACAAGACTCGAAATACAGTATAAATTTGCATTACCATAATGGTGTATTCCACTGGTTCATTTTAATGTTAACGTTAACGTAACGGTAACGTTAACGTAACGGTAACGTTAACGTAACGGTAACGGTAACGGTAAACACTAAATAAATGTCCATTTATGTTCTAGTATATATCGGTATATGTTAAACGGTAATTACACAAAAGTCGATCGATCAGTGTTGTCAGTTGGACCACACTGCGGTTCAATACTGCGCCATTGGAACACTGTACTTAGCGTTAGTAATTTTGTAAGTCTAGCAACTTCTGGTTACTGGACATAGTAACGTGACAAAAGCTACTGATATCTATATATAGCTTAACGTCAATGTTTCTCAATCGGAATAACGATAACAAATGATAGAAATGTCAAAATCAAATCGCGCCACTAAAAAAATAATCAAATTTACAAAACCCGTTCCCACACTTCCAAACGAAATTCTGCAAGACATCTTTCGGCGTCTTCGAAAATACACACTACGCCAGACGTTACTAGTAAACAAACACTGGTGTACAAACACAATAATTACATTTTGGCAAAAACCATTTCATTATTCTTACGACGTTCGAATAATCAAAACTTATTTATCATTTTTGGAAGATGACGCTGAAAAGCAAAGACTTTTGGATGCTGGCGTTGAAATCCCATCAAAAATTGAAAATCGAATTTTTGAAATTCCGTCAATGTTGGTGCATTTAAAATATTATGGAATGATTGTGGCTGTGAAAAATCTCGTTGCCAATCGGGGAAAAGCTAAAGTTGAAACGAGCGACAACACCGATATACTGAATTTGATTATTGAGGCATTGTTGGGATTGTTTGTTCGTAAAGAAGTGAAACTCGTTTCATTAAGCTCGACATGTGACAAAGGATATGATCCTTTTCTACGTTTTGTTGATCCAAAGTATTTCGAATTAACAAAGAACTTAAAAGAATTATATATCGATAGTAAATGCCGAAGAGGGTTATTATTCAAATGGGCTGCGGGAAATTGTCGAAACTTGGTACAGTAACAAGAATGGTTTAGATTTAATTTTAATGATCTTTTCTTGATCCTTTGCTAAGCTTTTCTTTTTCACCATTAAAAAGCGTTCTCTTGAAATTAATCTCGTGCGATGGCGAAGAGCTGAACAATCTAACAGAATAAACTTGACGGATGACGAAAACTTGACTCGGCTGATTTGTGCTCAAAACGAATTACAATACTTTAAGATTTCACATTATGCTCGTCGATTAGAAATGAAAACACAATTAATTGTGGATGCGTTAGCTACGCAGGCGAACACGCTCCAACATGTCATTTTTGACGTGATCGGCTTTTCTGGACCTTTGGAAGGTCTGGTAAAATGTACCAACCTATATTCTTTGGAATTTCGTTCGGTATATGGTTTGAAAGAGCTTGAAATTGTTCAACCTCTAATCTCAGCAAAATTCGAAAATTTAAAAAAAGTGGTGATTGTTAGTGGGGCGGTGTGTGAAGATCTAAGAAAATGGGCAGACACGCACAATAAAGCATCAAATTAATGATCATTTCGAAATATTCTATTTTTGGTTAAAGTTACTAACGCTAATTTAAACGGTAGTTGTAGTGTCCAAAGCGTTAAGTAATTTACAAAGCACCTCCTTTATAGGTTTAACGCTTAATGTGATTTAGTCAATATTTTATGTTTTGTTAATAGTTATAGTCTGGATGTTAGTGTTCATATAAGACGCAAAATGCGTGCATTATTGAATAATCAGGATGGAAAAACAAGGAGTGTTTGAGATAAAAACTTTCGTTTTATAATACATAAAAAATACGAATGTAGTCATTACCCTATAAAAGGATAGCCCATCCAGCAAAGCCCGGAGAAAAATCTCACGAGCGCCATTTATATCTCTATATATACAGAGTCTGTACCCTCCACCAACTTCTGATTTATGCACATACAGCGATTACATGTTTTATTCGTGTATGCCTCACCGACTATTTAACCTCTTTCCCAAACTCTTCTTCCTTCGAAATCAGTCTTGCCCAAAATCTTCCATGAGCCCATGTCATCATTTTCGGTAATGTCCTGTGGTTGATCTTGCGATATTGTCTCCGGGCCATCTGGCCACCATTAAATGGAGTAATTATTACAACATCAAAGCTATTAATAAGTCAGAGTGATGTCCTGCATGATATTAGATCAAGGGCAAGACTTGAGTCGAATGATTCTCTGTGCTTATCTCGTCACAACTCTGGGTGGATGAATACCAAGTCAGAAAGGTACGGACACCGGGCGGGATCCAGCGAACAAATGTTAAGATCCCCTTAATTTGTTCTCGCATTCGTACTCTCCACTGCTATTGGTGTCGATTCTACATTAGCTTATAATAATTGTTAGTTATGATTCTTTTTGTGGCGCTCGTTTGGGTCCTTGTGTCGAAGATGTATCAAAATTATGCGGACACTTTATAAAGTAAAATAATACAAAACCTAATGAAAAAATCTTATTCCATGAATTACATAGAATTTATTTTGATTGACCATTTTTCTTTTTTTATATAATCGTAATCTATTAATAGATTAGTGCTTGGTTCGACCACAGCAAGAATAACATCATGAATTCGATTAGACGCTAAATTTTTATAAAATAAAACGGTCACTTTTGGACGCGATATCTTGGTATCCAGTGAACTTTTTTGAACGTAAATACC